AGGCGGCAGAGAGGCGTGGAACGGAGTACCGCAGCAGCGTGGGAGAATATCGACACAGAGATGCGTAGAGAAACAGAATCTCCTAAAACCCGAACGAAAGTCAGAGCAAAAGCGACTGGAGCAGAGCAGAGCAGAGAAGAGGAGGGAGCGCACAAGGGACCAAGCGGTGGTGGGGTCGCAGGAGAAGGCGACTGCCAGGTCCCCCCGCACCCCGCCGCCTCGTGATGGCCGCGCCCCCCCCAGGAAGGACGACGCCGCCACCGTGTAGATCTGCCGAGGAAGGTGAGGGGGGGGTGAAGGGGGTTGGTGGCATAGGGAACAGGTGGCAGGGGAGGCAGGTGAACGGACAGGGCGGAGGCGGGTAGAAGGAAATGGCAGGGATTTGGGAGGGGAAAGGGTGAGAGTGGGAATGGAGAGAGGCGTGGAAGGCGTGGTGGAGCGGGTGAGAGGGGAAGGAAATGGGGTGGAGCAGGCGAAGGAAGGGAGGCAGGCAGTCAATGCCTCAAAAGAGAGCGACTGCGAGGCGAGTGGGGGTGAGAGGCGAGTGGGAGGTGAGAGGCGAGTGGGAGGTGAGAGGCGAGGTGGCAGGGGCAGAGAGTGCAGTGAGATGAGAGAGGCGTGGTGAGGTGAGAGACCTGGCCATGCTTGAATCGCAGCAGCTGCATGATGCGCGTCTCCAGCAGCTTCGTGAGGAAGCCCACCCACATCGTCTCCTCCACCTGACCGTGCTCATGTGCATGGCGCATGGTGCATGGCATGGCATGCAGTCACATGGCACGCAGTCACATGGCATGGAGTCACATGGCATGCAGTCACATGGCATGGAGTCACATGGCATGCAGTCACATGGCATGGAGTCACATGGCATGGAGTCACATGGCATGGAGTCACATGGTATACATGCAATTACTGCCATGCAGTCACGTGTCATAGACTCACACAACACGGCAAATTGAATGAAAGTCAGACACGACACAGTGATGTTGCGCGTCTACACATGAGAATGAGCATTCAAAATCAGAAACTTTCCATGCAAGGCGCACTCATGACTGTGAGTCCCTCCATGTGTGCCTACACGTTGAGACGCCTCAAGCACGCATGGAGCGGCACGGCACTCACGACTTTGGGGCTGGCAGGGATGGTGAGGGGGAAGGTGATCTGCGTGTAGCCCTGCGCCTCCACCATCACCCTCCTCACCTCCTCCCTGTGCTTCCCCACCACGCACCACACAGCACACGGCGGAGAGGGCAGAGGGCAGAGAGGGCGGAGGGCGGAGAGGGCAGAGGGAGGAGAGGGCAGAGGGAGGAGAGGGCAGAGGGAGGAGAGGGCAGAGGGAGTAGTAAGTGGGCTATTCAGAAACAGGGTAGGACAGAGCATCGACACGAGCAAAGCACATCAACAGAGAGACGCGCACAAGGGGAAAGCTGGCAGGACCCAGGCGCTTCCAGATGTCAACGACCCCAGAGCAGAGCAGAGCAGAGCAGAGCAGGGCGCACCGGATGAGGGAGTCGGGGAACTTGAAGGGCAGCGCCGTGAGCGAGTCGCGCTCGTAGAGCGGCATGGCGGCTGATGGGGGAGGCACTGGGATGCCGCCCTGGTGTGGGGGATGGGGGATGCGGAAAAGGGGGAGCAGGTGGCGTGCATGTCAGACCGGTGGGTGGCATCCATGTCAGACCGGTGGGTGGCATGCATGTCAGACCGGTGGGTGGCATGCATGTCAGACCGGTGGGTGGCATGCATGTCAGACCGGTGGGTGGCATGCATGTCAGACTGGTGGGTGGCATGCATGTCAGACTGGTGGGTGGCATGCATGTCAGACTGGTGGGTGGCATGCATGTCAGACTGGTGGGTGGCATGCATGTCAGACTGGTGGGTGGCATGCATGTCAGACTGGTGGGTGGCATGCATGTCAGACTGGTGGGTGGCATGCATGTCAGACTGGTGGGTGGCGTGGTGGAAAAGGAAGAGAAGTGGGGAACTTGGCTCGTTGGTTGAGGTGACTGACTGAATGGGTGAGTAAGTGCGTGCACGAGTGGGCGAGAGAGTGTGATTGTGAGTGGTGATATAAGTGCTGCAATTGCTGCAGCACCCACCTCTTCCTGCCCACACACATCGACTCACACACTTAATTTCTGCCCACCCTGCGCCTGTGTGGCTTTCATTGCCACCTCACCAGCCACTGCCTGCACCTATCAACCGTGCCCTCACCAGGTACTGCTTGATGAGCGGCAGCGCCTGCTCCAGGCGAGTGCTGCCGACGATAACGGCAGTGAAGGGCGAGGGGTCCTTGAACGCCCGCTCAAAGTACTCACACGCCCTGCTGTAGTCCACGCGCTTCAGATCCGACTCTGTTATTGGCTGCAGGGGGAGGGGGACGGTGGGTGGGGATGCACGGGGGTGGGAGGGAGACATGCATGGGGAAAGGAGGAGCGCAGGGGGGTGCTGCCGACGATGACGGCAGTGAAGGGCGAGGGGTCCTTGAACGCCCTCTCGAAGTACTCGCACGCCCTGCTGTAGTCCACCCGCTTTAAACCCGACTCCGTGATTGGCTGTAAGGGAGAGATCGGGAAGGGCGGGAAGAATGCAAGAGGATGGGAGGGATGCACAAAGGTGCGAGACCCACCTTCCCCCTCCCCTCCTTGCCAGTACCACCCTAATCCCCATTCCACTCATCCTGTACCCACACAACACCTTCAACTTGTTGTAGCTGCTACCATATCCTCCTGACCCTCACCCCTCCGTCCCACCCCTCAATCCGCACCAACGCTGCACGTCTAACCTTGAATTCGTACCTGCGCCCGTAGCTCATCTCCCTCACCGCCACCCCTCAACTCCACCTCGCTCCTCCCTCGCGCTTCCCAACCCCCACGCCCCGCCCCCCACACCCCTCACAGCACCTTGAACTGGTAGCTGCGGCCGTAGCTGATCTCCCTCACGCGGTTGGCGAAGGCAGTGAAGGGGTCGCGCTGCTGCCCGCGCACGGCCTCGCGTGTCATCTGCTTGATCAGCGCTATGTCCTTCGCCTCCGCCCGTATGCTGCACGTGAACAGCTGGTACACCAGCTGCACGCACAGGGCGAGGGGCGGGGGGGGGGGGAGGGATGAAGATGAAGATGAAGATGCAGCATGATTTGGAGATGAAGCATGATTTGGAGATGCAGCATGATTTGGAGATGAAGCATGATTTGGAGATGAAGCATGATTTGGAGATGAAGCATGATTTGGAGATGAAGCATGATTTGGAGATGCAGCATGATTTGGAGATGCAGCATGATCAGCGCTATGTCCTTCGCCTCCGCCCGTACGCTGCACGCGAACAGCTGATACACCAGCTGCAGAAGGGGCGAGAGGAGGGGCGGTAAGTCAAAGGGTGCGATGCGGAGGCATCGGGTGTGGTGCGTCTCATGACTACTTCCTACACACGCATCCCCTCACTCCCCACATCCCATCACTCCCCACATCCCCTCACTCCCCACATCCCATCACTCCCCACATCCCATCACTCCCCACATCCCCTCACTCCCCACATCCCACCACTCCCCACATCCCCTCACTCCCCACATCCCACCACTCCCCACATCCCCTCACTCCCAACATCCCCTCACTCGCACATCCCATCACTCCCCACCACCACCACCACCACCACCAGCACCCCACGGCACCTGCAGAGCCGTCTCGAGGTCGTCCGGCGAGCACTCCCCTGAGAGCACGCGCATGTAGGACGACAGCTTGCACCCTAGACTCCCAGTCGACTCACAAGCCACCTTAAAGCCCAACAAGGGTGCGGCAGCCAGCTCACTTGCAGAGCCGTCTCGAGGTCGTCCGGGGAGCACTCCCCTGAGAACACGCGCATGTAGGACGACAGCTTGCCGCCCACCTCCACGCGCTTGCCGGCCAGCAGCTCCGCCATGACAGCTGGCGGGTGGCCGAATATGCCCGCCTCCCCCGCGATGCTCTGCGCCATGGCCGCCGTGTAGTAGTCCGCTTCCGACACCTCCGAGAGACCCCCGTACGCGTAGCCGGATATCAGGATCTGCGGTGGAGAAGCAGAGACGTTGGAGGGTTGTTAGAGAATCGGATGCTCTGCGCCATGCCATGGCTGCCGTGTAATATTCGGCTTGAGACACCTCGGACAGACCCCTGTATGTGTAGTGGTGGGGGAAGGGGGGGGCAGATGGACACAAGGGTTGAGTTGAGAGAGCATGCGATGGTTGCTGTGCGCCATGCCATGGTTTCAGTGTGGCAGTCGGGGAAGCACAAGCTCGAGAGACCCCCGAATGCCTACCCGGGTATGAGGATCTGCACCATTCCCATTGCCATGAGGCAGGCACTCAAGTGGAGTGCCAGAGCCGAGCATCGAGTCCCTGGAAGAGGCACGGCACTGCACGCTAGCCCAGCAGCACAGCCTGTGAGTACAGCTGTGCGTGCTGCAGCAGGCCAGGTGGCAGCAGCGCTGACAGAAACGGCAGCGCCTTGCCTGCTGCCCCCAGAACCGCACACAACCCTGCCACATACCCCTGCTCCACCCGCTGCTCCTCCCCCCTCCCCTTCCCCCTCCCCCTCCCCCTCGCTCTCTTTCCTCCTCTCGTCGCCTCTCTCCCCCCAGAAGGAACGGGGTAGAGAGGAGAGGGGAGGGGCGGGCGGGCAGTGGGCACGCAACCGCTGGCTGTGGCTGCTCTTGCCCCTCTGCAGGCCTTCAGAGCTGCCACGTCAGCTGCCAGCTCAGTGCACATGCTTGCCACGTGGCAGCTGCAAGCAGCGCCAATCGCGGCCAGTGTGTCGAGCACCTCCTGTATCTCCCTCCCCTCCTTTCCCACCACTCTCCCCCTCCCATCCCTCTCTCTCCCCCTCTTCCGTCCTCGTCCCAGCCCTCCCATTGCTGCCCATTCGCCCCCACCACCCACACCAACACCACCAACACCACCCCAAGCACCGCCCCCATCCACCCATCCCATCTCTCCTTCCACTCCCTCCTCTCCCTCACTCCCCTCTTCCTCCTCCTCTTCCTCCCCCCCTGCCCTCACTGCCCTCTCCATATTCCCCAGCAGTGCACGCACACACGCTCTCACTCCGACTGAGTGTGCCGGCCGCAGGACCGCAAGCAGACACCGCCCCGCTGCCCGCACAGCCAGCGATTTGTCCTGTAGCGAGGCGAGTACAGCTGAGAGGCGCCGCCCGGAAAAAGTGGCGACTACATTCAGGAGAGAGGTCGTGGCGGATGGAGCAATGGTGGGTGAGGTGGTGACTGGGGCAGGTGCGAGCTTGGGGGCGTCTGAGGGCACAAGAAGAGGCTCCTGCCTAGTGATGCCAGCAGTAGCTGCAGCATCGTTGCTGCCACCGGTGCTTGGAGCAGCAGTTGCAGCAACGAGAGGGATGGGTGAGGAGGAGAGGAAGCGGAAGAGAGGGTCCCCCCACAGGAGCAGCAGCCGGGAGAGAGATCGAAGAGCGAGCGCTCGAATCGCCGCCACGTCATCACTGCATCCTCCAATCAGATGCGAGCACGCCTCAAGTGCAACCCGCAGGGAGGGCGAGGAGGAGGGGAGTAGGGAGGATGGGATTGAAGGGGTTGACGAGTTAAAGCATGGAGCAGCAGTATGGAGCGTATGGGGTGTGGCGATGGCAGCTGCAGCAGCAACAGCGGCAGCTCGCACAGCACGATAGTCATCCTCCATGCCCACCACCACCGCCCCTGCTGCTGCCTCCCTCAGGCACCGTAGCCACTTGCACTCACTGCTCTCTCCTTGCCCTCCCTGTCCCACTGCCTTCTGCTGCTGTTGCTGCCGTTCTTCTTGCTGCTTCTTGCGCTTCGCTCTCCTTCCACCCAGCTGTGGATCCGAGTGGCTTCGGCGGGAGGGAGTGAGGAGCAGGGGCAGCGGGCAGAGGGAGGGGGGTGGCGGCTGCTTGAGCTTCTTGGAGAAGGCCTGCAGGAGAGCTGCCTCGCAGGGGGCGGGGAGGAGGAGCGGTGCGGCCGCTGGGAGGGGAGGCGGCGAGGGGGAAGAGGAGGCAGCAGGGGCAGGGAGGAGAGGCGGTGAGGCAGAGACGAGGGCAGCTGTGGTTCGGAGTGCAGCGCATCGGACGGTGGGGGAGGGGTCGGTGGCGCGCGCTGAGAGGGAGAGGAATGTGATGTCTGACACTGCTTGCCATGTCACTGCCTGCTGCTGCTGATGCTGCTGCTGCTGGTGCTGCTGCTGGTGCTGCTGCTGGTGCTGGTGGGCAGTCCCAGTGACCCGTGTGCCTCGTTCCGATTGCTTACCAACACCTTCACCCCCTCTCTCCCTTCCCCTTGCCTCCCCCCGCAGCAGCAACGCCACTCCCTCCCGCCGCACCCACGCCACCACGTGTCCCACCAGGCGCACGGCGTGCAGGCGCACGTGCGCACAGTCGTCCTCCATGCCCTCACATGCACGCTGCACCATGCCTGCCACTGCGGCTAGCACCACACCGCCCTTATTGCCCTCACCGCTGCCATGTGGCACGGCATGCAGGCGCACGTGCGCACAGTCGTCCTCCATCGCCTCACACGCACGCTGCACCATGCCTGCCACCGCTATCAGCAGCACACCGCCCTCATCACCCTCACGGCTCTCATCGCTCCCGTCCGCCACAGCCCTGCTCCGATCCGCCTCCCCCATTCCACATGGCCCTCGCATCGCCTCTCCACCCAGCTGCCGTTGAATCTCCTCCGCCCTGTCCTCTCCCCTTCTTTCCTCCCCCGCTCCTCCTCCCCATTCCCCCGCCACCACCAGCCAGGGTACCTCCCCCAAGGCCCCCAGAGCTGCAGCGCGGACAGATGGCACGCTGTCATTGGCTGCGGAATAGAGGGCGGATGAGAGGAGGCGGGCGTATGCAGAGACAAGGGAGGTGGAGGGGCGGGGCAAAGGCAGAAATTCTGCTTCCCTGCTCGTGTCCTCTCCTCCTTCCCCTCTAGCTCCTCCAACCCCTCCTACTGCCCCTTCCTTCCCCTTCACTTCAACTCCCCCTTTCCCTTCTACCACCCTCTCTCCTTTCCTCCCCACCCGCCACCTCTCCCGCAATGCGGCCTCTGCCAGCAGGCGGGCGAGGGCGAGGGAGAGGTCACAAAGGCGCAGGCGCACGCGGTGGGAGGGGTGGCGGGACAGGGTGCGGAGGAGGGGGGCGAGGGCAGCGCGCGAGAGGAGGGGAGAGAGGAGGAGCTGGCTGGCGGCAGTAGACTCAGGGGTGGGAGGCTTGCGAGGGTTCACTGTGTTGAGTGTGACTGTAGCAGAGTGCAGTAACTGCTCCGTGATGCACCAGGGGAGAGGGCGAAGGACAGAGTCGGCAGCAGGTGGCGTGGTGGTGGCAGCCGTGGCATCGGTGGTTGCAGTTGGGGGAGGGATGGAGGAAAGGCAGGCAAGGAAGAATGCCACGGCGTGTGCACTGGCACTTGCTGCAACAGATGCAGTCGCTACACATGATGCTCTTGCAGCAGCGGACTTCTCAAGGGAGGCGAAAGCAGTTATAGCGGAGGGAGGATGGCTCCCAGATGCTTCCGATGCGGATGCTGCCATGCGTCCCAACCCTCTTCCATGCTTGATCCACAGTCCCACACATAGATATCTGCTCTCACATGTGCACGCGTCTGTGCCTCTGCAACCCTGCACATTTATACCACCAGCACCAGAAGAAGCAGCAGCAGCACCATTAGCAACAGCCCTTCCTTGCCTCGTCAGCAACAGCACGATCTGAGTCAGCAGCCTGACCACCAACACTGGCGCTGACAAGGCACCAACTTCAGGCAGCATTGGCCCATCAAGCCACGTCAGCAGCAGCCTTTCCAGCTCGCTCCCGGCCGCCAGCAGGAGAAGCCGATTGGCCGAAGCACAGAGCAACGACCGACTCCCTCTCTCTGCTCTCCACTTGCTGCTCTCCCTCTCTGCCCCCTGCAGTGCTGCCTCTAAGCCCCACAGACTGCACTCCACAGCGCACACCTCATCACCGCACAGCACTCCTCCGTCTCCTCTCTCCTCCCTTCCTCCTCCACCCTTCCGCCCCTCCCTCCTCGCCCCTGGCCCCTCTGTCTTGGCTTCCAATGCATCCCATCTGATCCCGCTCCCTCCCCCGCCTGCCTCACAGCCCACACACCGCAGCTGCTGCAGGCAATGCACCAGCTGCACCTGCCAGGGGGTCACACCCCGCTGCTGCTGCTGCTGCCGCTGCTGCAGCTGCTCCTGCTCGGGCCCAATGGAAGGGAGGCCCAATGGCTCCACGCACATGCAGTGTGGGCGCCAGTGCAAGCACTCCTTGCACGAGCACACACACAGCCCGCCCTCCCCTGCTCGCACCCCTCCCTCCTCCACGCCTTCTCTCTCTCCCTCCATCCCCTGCCCCTCCGCTTGCATTTCCTGTTGCCCCTCCCCTCGCCCCTCCTCGTCCTCTTCTTGCTCGTGCTGAGCCCGCCTCTGCCCCCACCAGCCCCACACAGCAAGAGGGGAGGGGAGGTGAGCAGGTGAGTCGGCTGGAGTGTCTACCATGCCATGGTTAAAGCGGCTAGAGCAGTTAGAGTGGCAACAGCGGCGCCTCAGCTTGCGGATCAAAGGCGGCCCCATCTGAACGCGGAGCACCGGGCATGGGCCCATCTCCTCCCCATAGCCTTTTTCCTTCTGCACGCCCCACATATCCTCCTGCATCGCCCTCTCACCAACCCACGCCAGTCTGTAACCGTCTCCTTCCTCTGCCTCACGTCTCTCCTCTCGCTTCCTCCCCTCCTCTCAACCTTCCTTTCGCTCCTCCCGCCCTTCATTCTCCTCAGCACTTCTTCCCTCCACCTCATCCGCCTCTCGGCCTCCATTCTACCCACCACTCCCCCACACCCACACAAGCAGCAACCACCAGCAGCAGGCAGAGGGCGCACAGCAGCAACAGCAGCAGCAAGGACCACTGGAGCCACAGGCTATGGCATGGCACCAAGCGACGCACGGCACGGCACGGCACAGTCGGCGACCTCAGCACATGACACGAGGTCGCATGCGCCCCACTTTGTGTCATCAGAGGCTGACACCGGGTCCAAATTCCGCAACTCGTGAACACACCCCAGGTTGAAGCATTGCACACAGTACAGAGCCTTCTCCACATGCATCGAGTCATCACCAATGAATGGTGGATGGCTCACTTTGCAACGGTTGACAGTCAACAGTCAACGGTCACAGTTGGTGTTTCTAACACGCCAGTCAACCACTGTAAACGGTGGTCCCCCTCACCTGGTCGTCAAGGAAGTCGGTGCATTTGACCGCCACGCGCATGCCGTTGGATAACCTCAGCTCCGTCACTCCCACACCCGGATACTCCCTCTGCTCCTCCACCTCCCTGCACGGGGGTGAAATGAGAGAAGAGAAGAAAGGAAAAGGAATGGAAGGGAAGGGAAGGGAAAGGAAGCGAAGGGAAGGGAAGGAGAAGGAAAGTGTTTGTAGGAAACCAGGTTGCATTCCCTGCTGCTGCTCAACAGCTCTCACCATTTTCTTGCACCCTCATGATCACTCACCCTGCCACCCACCTGCCACGGCTGCCACTCATCCCCCACTGCGTGCCACTCACCCCGGTACGGGTGGTGTCTGCACGATGCTCTCGGGAATGTCGTCCAGAGTCCATGGCTCTATCAGCTCCACTGCTTCTTCGCCTTCACCCCCCGCTGCTGCTGCTGCTGCTGCTTCACCGCCCCCTGCTGCTGCTGCTGCTGCAGCTGTTGCTGTTCCTGCTGCTGCGGCGGTTGTTGCTGTTGCTTCTGCCCCCTCTCCTCCCCCTTCCACCCCACCCCCACCCTCTAAACCGCCATCCCCCTCTCCTCCTCCCTCTCCTGCCTTTTCAGCATTCCCTTCTCCTCCCCCTTTCTTCTCTCCTCCCTCTCCACCACTCTCCACCACTCCCGCCGACTCCCCGTCTTCCCTCACCGCGTCAGCAGCCTCCTTCGCCTCATCAGCCTGAGCAGCCTCGTTGGCCTGCACAGCAGCCTTGGCAGCCGCGTCAGCGCGCATGGCAGCCACAGTGGCCTCCTTGGCGCGCATCACGCGGGCGATGACGCCTTGAATCGCCTCCACGGTGGCCTGCGCCTTGGCCTCCACGATTTTCACCACGCAGCTGCTGCTGGGGGAGATTTCTGACGCCACCGCTGCCACCTCTGCTGCTGTGATGCCTGCGGGACGGGAGGCGGAGACCAAGGGAAGAGGGTTGAGAGTGTAAGGGGTAAAGGAATCGTGTGCCCACGATCTTCACCACACAGCAGTTGCTGGGAATATTTCCGACGCCACCGCTGCCACCTCTGCTGCTGTGATGCCTGGGGAGTGAGGGGAGGGGAGGGGGAGACCAAAGGGAAGCGGGTTGGAGTAAAGAGAGGGTGGCCTGAACCTTGGCCTCCCAATCGTGACCACGCAGCTGTTGCCGGGAGATATCTCTGATGCCACCGCTGCTGTGAATACCTTCGCTGCTGTGATGCCTGGGGAAAAAAAGGTAAGGAAGGGGGGGGTGACAGCGAAGCGAGGGGCAGAAGGAGGAAAGGAGAGACGAAGGGGGGGAAGAGAGGAGAAGCTGAGAGGGAGCGTCCACGGTCTTGACGCGCCAGTGCTGCTGCCAGCACACCTGGTTAAACCCCACACAACCGCACCATACCTGCCAGCAGCCCCAAGCGCACCTGGCAGCAGTGCCTTGGCGAGTCGTGCCTCGTACTCAATGCCGGGCGAGGGCTCTTCCTTGAGGAAGTGCGCCAGGTACTCCTCTCTCAGCGCCTCGCTGTACGTCTGCTCCCTCTCCACGTATGCCGACTCCACGTCCGCCAGACACTGCACCCGCGCCATCGCTAGCTCTCGGTCTGATATGCCGTGCACTTGCACCCGCGCGACCTGGGGGTGGGGGATGGGAGGAAGGGAGTGAGGGAGATCGAGGGATAGTGAAAGTCTGCTCCCTTTGCTCTCCACGTATGCCGAGTCCACGTCTGCCAAGCACTGCACCCGCGCCCTCGCCAACTCACGATCGGAGATGCCATGCATTTGCACTCGCGCGACCTTGGGAGAAGCGGAGGAGGGAAGAGAGCGAACAGAGGGGGAGCAGAGGGAATAAGGAAGGGACTCTGGGGCTGCGTCACCTCCTGACGACACCTCGTCACCTCCAGCTGGGCTCAGAATGAGCGTGAGCTTAAATCCTGGACCAGGGGCCCTCGCAGTGACCAGCGAGGAGGAAGGAACGCCCAACCAACAAGCGAGCAGCCACACACCCCCCACGCACCTCCATCCACAGAGCCTCCAGTGCCTTGAGCGTGCCCTTGTCCTGGCAGCTGGCGCTGAGGGAGAACGAGCGTGTGGACTTCACGAGCGCCTCCACCGTGGCAGCAGCGGCGTAGAAGGGCGGGTTGGGGCGGCGCGAGAGCAGGAAGAGGCGGTGCGAGAGGGCGGCCTGGAATAGCTCCTCCACCAGATACTGCCTGTAGTCCATTGGGGTCACCATGGCGTGCACGGGCGCCTTGCACGTCACCATCACTGCTGACTGGGAGGCGGGTGGGGGAGAGACACCAGAATCAGGGAAGAGACGGAAGGGGTGTAAGGTGAGAGGTCCAGCAAGAGTAGCTCCTCCACCAGATACTGCCTGTAGTTGGAGGGGGTCACCATGGCGTGCACTGGCGCCTTGCACGTCACCATCACTGCTGACTGGGAAGGGGGACGGCGGGAGGAACAGAAAATCAGGGAAGAGACAGAAGAGGGGTAAGATGAGAGGCGAGTGGTGAGAGTAGCTCCCCCATCAGGTAGTGCCTGTAGTCCCAGGCGTCCCCATGGCGTGGATGGGCGCCTTGGGGGGCGACAAGCAGAGGGTGATGCAAGGATAGAGGAGAAGTGAGGTGCGCGGCGGGAGTAGATGACTGGGCAGGGAGAGGATGGGGATAGTGGCTTCAACTGAAGGGAAGCTTTTTTTGGCGTTTCAAGAAAATGTGACCAAGTGCAAATAATACAGGGAAGCACGAAGGAGGGGCAGCAGCAGCACCAGGCAGGCCCCTTCGCTACCTCTTCATACCACACCACACCACTCTTCATACCCACCAGCATCCCCACCCACCCACACCGCATTGCACACTATGCACGCTACTCCGACCTCGACTCACCCCGCCAGCCTCCCGCTCGACGAAGACGGAGAATCGCGGTTGCGAGTGCGAATGGAAGGGCTCTTCAGGCACTGCTGGGCGCGCGGATGGGCAGAGCGGCAGCTTGGCGGCAAAGTGCTCTGATATCAGCGCCACCACTGCCTGGTGGGGGGGGGAAGGGCGGGGGGGGGCAGGGGAGGGGAGGAGAGGGGAGGGGTGGTGAAGGGTTAGTGAAAGGGAGAGGCGGGTTTAGGGCGGCAGCTTGGTGGCAAAGTGCTCCGCTATCAGCGCCACCACTGCCTGGCGGTGGCGTGGAGGGGGGGAGAGGGAGATGGGGAATGTTAAGGGGTAAATGAAGGAGAAGTGAAGGATGGGAGGAGGGGCAGAGCGGCACCTTGTGGGCGAAGTGCTCTTCTATCAGCGCCACCACTGCTTGGTGGGGGGAGGGGGAGAAAATGGGGAGTGAAAGGGGAGCGAATGGGAACGAAGGGGAGGGTAAGAGCGGGGAGGAAATGAAGGGAGAGGGGAGGCGAATGGACAGGGTCACAGGGGTACGGTCACGCCAGAGAGGGGGTGGGGGGGACGGGTGTGGAGGTGAGGGAGGGATGGCAGCAGCAGGAAAATAGAGGGGGGAGAGAGTAGGGCGGAAGAAGGAGGAGGAGAGGACGACAGCAGAGGTGGGCCAGCACACCTGAGCATGGGGAAAGTCCTCCCGGCCAGCACGGCCATGGCATGACAGCCATGCTTGTGGGGAGCATCGGTACCGCATGAGGTCGCGGCAAAGCAGAGTGACGAGTGAATGTTAGGCCCGTGCCCCACATGCCCCACATGCCCCACATGCCCCACATGCCCTACATGCCCCACATGCCCCACATGCCCCACATGCCCCACATGCCGCACATGCCCCATGAACACACCTGAGCATCGGGAAAGTCCCCCACAGCGACCACGGCCATGTTGCCAGGGTGGTACCACCACGTGTGGTAGAAGCGCTTCACAGCGGCCGCTGGCACGCAGCACTAGCCCCACGCCCTCCACACGCCCCACGCCCTCCACACGCCCCACGCCCTCCACACGCCCCACGCCCTCCACACGCCCCACGCCCTCCACACGCCCCACGCCCTCCACACGCCCCACGCCCTCCACACGCCCCACGCCCTCCACACGCCCCACGCCCTCCACACGCCCCACGCCCTCCACACGCCCCACGCCCTCCACACGCCCCACGCCCTCCACACGCCCCACGCCCTCCACACGCCCCATGCCTTAACAACACACCTGAGCGTCAGGAAAGTCCCCGACAGCCACCACGGCCATGTTAGCGGGGTGGTACCACGTGTGGTAGAAGCGCTTCACAGCGGCTGCTGGCACTCCGCGAATGACTGATTCCAGGCCGATGGGCAGCCGCTCTGCGTACTGTGGGAGGTGCATTCAAGGAAGGTGGATTAACGGAGGTGCATTTGAAGGAGGTGAATTCAGTGAAGGTTTCAGCTTGCGGGTGGTGCTTGGCTAGGCTTGTGGGAGAGAAGGGCAGATGGAAGACAAAGGAATAGAATCTGCATCACAGGTGTACAAGAAACGCCTCGCTGCACATAAACCTCAACCAGAAGCTCAACTCCGACCCCTAGGTCTCACATGCTGCCCCCCAGCTGCCAGCCAGTGAACGTCCTGCATAACATAAACCCCTTGACCTTTCGCCTTTCCCTCTCTAAACCAGAAATAAACCCCGAACCCATATAACCCCAATCCATAAATCCTAAACCCTGCTACTGGATAACCCCAATCACCTTGCTGCCGTGCATGAGCAGGTGCCAGTGCGCGTCCTGCATGCGCCCCATGGCGTTGCGCCTCTCCCGCCACTCCTCCAGCACCGCTCCCCTCTCCTTCTCCACGTCCTCCTCTGACATGCGGATCTGCACCCCCCCACGCACACGGGGGAGGGCGCACACAGAAAGGCGCACAGGAGGGGCCACACATTATTTCCCAAACCAGTGACTCAGGGAGGGATGGATGAAGGCAGCACCTCGGGTTTATCAACAGTGAGCACAGCCGGCCACCGGACCTGGACTTAGAGAGAGAAAAAAATATATATATTTGAATTGGCCTCGCCTCGCTCATTGTCAAAGTCAGCAAGCATGGACACGGCATGCGGTAGCAACTCAGGCCTATCCACCTGCAACTGCATAGCACTGCACCTCGAGAGACTCCAACTCCCATCCCATGGCACAAACGCACTCCCCCTGCTCACCTCGCTGGCGAAGTCAGCTAGGATAGACACAGCGTGCGGCAGCAGCTGGGGCTTATCCACGGGCAGCTGCAGCTCGAGGCACCCCACCTCCCATCCCATGGCACACGCCCCCTCCTCACTCACTCCAACTCCCATTGTGTTGCTCACCTCACTGGCAAAGTTAGCCAGAATGGAGATGGCGTGCAGCAGCAGCTCGGGCTTATCAACGGGCAGCTGCAGTGCCGTGTAGTGCAGCAAGAGAGACCCCAACTCCCATCCATTGCACAAGCGCCCCCCTCCCCTGCTCACCTCGCTGGCGAAGTCAGCCAGAATGGAGATGGCGTGAGGCAGCAGCTCGGGCTTATCGACGGGCAGCTGCAGCTCAAACACCGTCTCGTCTGCTGACGTGTACGCGTTCTGACACGCGCCGAACTCCGCCCCGATGCTCTCAAGGAAGCGCACGATGTCATGGTTGCTGTAACGCCTCGTTGCGCTGAAGGCTAGATGCTCGAGAATGTGCGCCACTCCCCTCTCCGCCTCCTCCTCCGCCAGGGACCTGCAGGGCCGCGGGGGAGAAGAATGGGAGGGTTTGCAAGAGAGCTTGAGTATGTGCGCCACGCCCCGCTCCGCTTCCTCCTCCGCCAGGGACCTGCAAGGCCGCGCGTGGCAGAACGGGGAAGGCGCATGGCGGATGGGGGGAGACGGACGGCAGGTTGGAGGATGGTGGGACGGAGGAGTGAGGTGGGGGAAACGAAAGGGAAGTATTCCAAGAGAATTTGAGTGTGCTCTTTGCAAGCACGATGTGATGTGGTGGTTGCTGTAGCGCCGCGTGGCGCTGAACGCCAGGTGCTCCAGTATGTGCGCCACTCCCCTCTCCGCCTCCTCCTCCGCTAGGGACCTGGCGGAATGGGGGATGGCGGATGAGGGAAGGGGGGTGGGGGATAGCGGAAGGGGGGACGCGGAGCGGGAAGGCGGATGGGGGATGGCGGACTGCGGGATGGCGAATAGGGGGAGGCGGATGGGGGAAGGCGAATGTGGGAAGGCCAATTGGGGATTGCGGATGAGGGATGACGGATGGGAGACGACGGATGGGGGAGGGGGGACGGCGGATGGTGGATAGCGGGAGGCGGAAGAGAGTTGGGTGAAAGGATTGGGGCAAAACCACGCTTGAGAATAGTGGAAGTCTTCTGTTCCTTCCCACCCCACTCTCTCTCCTCACCCCGCTCTCCCCATACGGTCCTCTCCCACGAGAACCAACCCCCATGCTCTTCAGATCCTCACCCCACGCGGACCGCCAGCGCCAACGCGGCGCGGTGCTGCGGCTTGGCGTTGCGGCGCACGTAGTACGTCACGCCGTTGTCGAGCCGCCCGTGCAACACCGCGCCCTCCGGCCCCAGCGGGATCGCCGCTTTCCGCGACTCCTCGCTCCTCAAATCCAGGGGCTTTAGCGAACGAAACGACGACACGTGTCCGGCTCCTCCGCTTCTGCCGCTCATCCCGCCGCTGCCGCTTCGTGTGAGACTCAGCCGAGTGACGTCAGGCAAAGGTGAATCTAGCGAGGATTCTGGCTGCCGGGGGGGTGATGGTGACGTCATGATGACGCTAGCCGCGGGATCTAGAATGTCTGAACCAAATCTCTCAAGGAAACGAATCGGCTAAATCCTGAAGTCGATAGTAATGACGACAGAAACTCAGCTTGAGAATAAGTGAGGAGTAACGACGGAACGTGCAGCGGCTCACTGGTCGGGATATGCAGAGGCCGTGCTGGAACGGGCGAAAGACAGACGGCAAAAGGAACTGGCTTACAGTCGGGATTCTGCGATGAATGGACCGACTGAAGGGAGAAACTAATTGAGACCAAGGAACTAACGCCAAAATATAGATTCTCCCGTGTGACCGTTGTTCTCCTTGCAGGCCAGCCCTGTAAAAGGAATAAGAAGCCTTGCATCATTGCAGCTTCTTACAAAAAGAATTTAAAGACTCTCGGATCCACAAGATGCATATATACAAGGGAATACAGTATTATCTTAGTCTGATTGCTTCACTGGAAGGATGGCTGTACCCGTTTTAGAAGCTCAAACGGCCAGGTTTCTGAGCTAGGGTTTCAATTCCTTTCATGGATCAATTTCAATCCAACGGCTCATCGGTTACTTCGCTAGGCTCGACTCTGAGATCTGGCTGCTTCGTCCAGCCAACTGTTGCAAAAAAGAGCACCTGGGGTTTCCAAACCTGCTCGTTTGGCTTCTCCCCTTCATCCGTCCGTCCGTCCCACCTGTCCCTCCTCATCCATTGCTTCACGCTCAACCGCTCCCTGCTTCTAGGCTCAAAACGCCATTGATCGCCCGCCAGTCGCCGCATCTCACTCGTCCGTTTACCTCCCTAGCTTGCATCTCACCGTCCTGCAAAACTTGGACGCCCTCCGCTCGCCTCTCACAGTTCAGAGTTTCCCAGTTCAATCTGATTCGTTGCTCTCCCCAGAGGTACGCACTACCACTCGTTTTGGTTCCCCCATGATTTCACTACTCTTTTAGCACCAGTTACGATACCTAAATTCGGCAGACTATATATTTAGTCTGGAAGCCGTTACTCGAGTTCTCCTGTATTTCTGGCTTATCGATGCACCTGGCCTCACGTCGCCGCAATATCTGTCTGGTCCTACGGTTGTGGCTAGTCTGCGTTACCACTTTTCACACCCGACCTTTCATTGATATGATGATCGTCTCGTCCTCCGTTAGGATACTTGGTTCAGCGACATTTATTACATAACCATTGAGTCAATATTTTGGACATTCGTTGTCGCTTAACTCTACGATCCGTGTCCTGGTTTATTGTGGCAGGTCTTTCGTCAACCAAGTCAACGAGGTTGTTTCACTACGTTGCGGTGGGCAGTCTTTAAAGGTATCTCGTCATGGCGCAGCAGCCTGGCATGATAAATATTCCCGGTCAGCCAGGCCAGATGGCCTATGCTGCCGCGATGGGTCAACCGACAATGGCTCCTCACATGATGGCACAATACCAGACGAACCCATCTGCGGCGGCTGGTGCTGCTGGATCCGTGCCTGCTGCTCAAGTGGGGTCGCTACCCGCTGGCGCACCTGGGTACCAGCCTCAGGCGCTGCAGCAGCAGTTGCAGTATCAGCACCTCCAGCAGCAACACCAGCAGCAGCTGCAGAGCTTCTGGCAGCAGCAGATGCGTGACGTGGAGCACGCGAATGATTTCAAGAACCATCAGCTTCCGCTCGCGCGTATTAAGAAGATCATGAAGGCTGACGAGGACGTTCGCATGATAAGTGCAGAAGCGCCTGTGGTTTTCGCGAAGGCTTGCGAAATGTTTATTTTGGAGCTAACCCTGCGTTCCTGGATTCACACAGAAGAGAACAAGCGTCGCACCCTGCAGAAGAATGACATTGCTGGCGCTATAACGCGGACGGACATTTTCGACTTCCTGGTAGATATTGTCCCTCGTGATGAGTTGCGTGAAGAGGGAGGCGTAGTGGGAGCTGTTGGGGTCGGGGCTGGTGCAGCAGCCAGCGCTTTGGGCGCCGTCCCGCGCCCGCCTGTAGGTATGCCTGGCGCAGCAGATCTGCCGTTTGGTGGCATGTATTATATGCCGCAGACTGCTGCACCAACTGCGGCCACCATGCAGCAGCCTACTGCAGCCATTATGGCACAGCATCAGATGATGGTCAACAGGCATGCCATGGGAATGGATCCTTCCATGTACGGCCAGCAGCAGCAACAACAGCAGCAGCAACAGCAGCAACAACAGCAGCAACAGCAACAGCAGCAGCAACAGCAGCAGCAGCAGCAGCAGCAACAACAGCAGGCTCAGGCTGCCCAGCAGCAGCAGCAGCGGGCTGCAAATGCCATGGCAGGGATGGGTTACATGCAGCAAATGCCTCAACAGATGTGGCAGCAGCAAGGAATGCCACCTCAGTGATTCATTGCTAGAGTCTGAATAGCATTGCATGCCTTTGATTTGCCAAGGGAGGGAAGGGCCTTCAATGATTTCTTGAGTTGCCTTTTAGGTCAAGCCAGCTGTTTGTACAAACCACTGGATAGTGTTTTGATTTGTTTTTTTGCACTTCGGAGGGAGTATCACGGACTATCTGATGTGAACAATTTATTGAGGTTGCAATATGCTTTGGGCTGCTCCATTAGATCGTTAGTGAGTCGTGAGAAGCTGTTCCTTCGTACGCGGACAATCCATGTGCGCATGGAATTGCTGAAATTGCGCAATACCGCAGCTAGCTCTACCGAATCAACTTTACAGGCACTTCTCGAGTCGGAGTTGTGTACAGTAAATCATACCACACAAGCCCCACCAAGACCCCAAATTAGCCGACATCGCGCCTCGCTACTTCCGCCGCCCTTGAACAAGAGAAGGGACCCTCACAGCGCGTTCCGCACATCGGCTTTTGAAGACTCTAGCACCTGGTTCGCGAGTGTGGCTGCCAACAGCGACGAAGCAGGAATCCAGCATTCAGAAAGTTGGTTACACACAACAAAATTCGCCATCCCATGACTCTATGGGACTCTTCAGGAAATAAACATATCCTGAAATTATCCTGGTTCGTCTTCTGGAATTTTCAGATCAGATGCCCCTGCAACGTTTTAGTCGGCGGTGGAGCAGACTCCCTCGTCTCAAAGAATCCATGGTTGCTCCTGATAACTCGATTCGCTCCAGAACCCCTGTTTGTCTCCGTAAGCCATTTTGGCTCGTTTATCTCCTCCCTGGCTCCGCCAGATTTAACAGGAGGCCCTTGCGCACATTGCGATGCGATGCGGCTCGCTAATATGTCCTCACTCTTCTGTCGTCGTCATCCGTCGTCGTAGTAGGCGTTACATGGTGCATTCGTCGCCCTCGCAGCGCGCTGCAGCAGTTTCACCTCCGCTATCGCTCGTCCCCGCTAAGGACCGACTCGCTTTGTAGCAATAGCTCCGCTTGCATTTGACTGAATCGCCACGCTAGATTTCACGGACTTCGGATACTGCGTACGCCTGAATTCGACTCTGAAAAGGCTTCCAAAAGCACATCCGGATATTCTTTATAGTTGTTTGAAAATCAATAGCGTTTTGTTTAAAAATATCTTGTCTTTTGACTGTTGATGCTGCATATTCACGCGTTATATTACACGACCATGCGACTCCTGGGCACGCGTGCGATAGAATCGATAGCGCAGCAGCGGCAAGAGCACAATCAACGGTCATGGATGAAGCACCAGCGACGAGAATTCCATAAGTTGTGGGCGACGCGTCTTCTGATGTCGTGCCTGATGACTACCGCCTTGCTGAGCGGGTCTCGCGGAGCAATTGACGGCGTAATTCGCGCAGGCTCCAGTGAGTAGCCTCACATTCGGAATTTCCGGAAGCCCTTTTTTTACAAAACATTGCATGGATCGAAACAAAGGAAACCATTTTCCTCTTCCTTTTCCTCCCCCACACCCTGCAGCAAGCACGCCTTACTTGAGGCGCCACAAAACATTTCCCCTACTCCCTTCTCCAACTCCACCGATCTCCTTCTCCTTTCCCCTTCCGGACCTCTTTCCCTCCCCTCTTCCCCCCTTTCCCCATCCCCTTCCCCATTCCCCAGCAGCGCCCGTCAAGCCTCCCCAGCGCGCATGGAACTGCACCATTTCCCGCGGAATGTGGGTGCCTTCCAGAAAGCTTCCGAGGTACAACGGCGCATCGTGTCCGTTCATCCGGTCGTCGCACAACTGTCGGCGGCAGGGACGGACGAACTTCGACTATGAAAAGCTGCAGTGGTGGGTAAGTCGGATTGTGGGCTATTCTCATAAGGTGGACGGCACGTGGTAACAGCAGGGACAGCCGCAGCGGACAAATCTCGACTACGAGAAGCTTCAGTGGCTGGTGAACCGGGTCTGACAAGGGTGCTGGATCAACTCTTGACAACAGTGGCAGCCAGGACGGATGGACTTGGAGCATCAGAAGCGACGACGGCGAGTGGGATGGGGTGCGAGGATGCTCTGAGCTGAGACAGTCTCACAACAGCTGCAGGGGCGGACGGGCTTTGAGTATCAGAAGCTGCAGTGGCGGGCGAATGCAGAAGCTTGGAGTTATTCCAGAGTCACAACAGCAGCGACACCAGGGGCGGACGGGCTTTGATGGTGGTGGAGATGGTGGATTCTGTCTGAACATACCTCGCGGACTCAGTAGGGGGATCAACTTACCTCCGTGTCTTCAAGCTTCCCCCCTCTCCTCCCTCTCCCCCCTCTCTCCCTCTCCGACCTCTCCCCCCTCTCCCCATTCTCCCCCCTCTCTCCCTCTCCCCGCCTACGTAGCCATTACGGTGCACCGTACAGCGCTTAACCCCAGCAGTTCAAAAACAGGCTGGTGGTGCTGCTAAGAGATTCTGACTGTAACGAATCAGCCCATCTGCACCCCTCTTCCCACTCCCCACCAGCACCCCTCTTCCCACTCCCCACAATACAGCGCTTGACACCAATTCGACTTTTGAGGCGCCTCAAAAGGGTTCAATCACCCTCACTCTCACCACACTCACTCTCCTCACACTCCTCCGTCCCCTCCTCTGCAGACCATTGGATGCAAGGTGCAGCGCCTCACCCCAGCGCGCCTCGTGCAGCAGTTCAAGAACAAGCTGGTGGTGGTGCTGGGGGACTCGGTCTCCAAGAACCTCACCAATTTCGTTTAAGAACAAACTCAATCCCCCAAACTCAATCCCCCCCCACTCCTCCCTCTCCCCTCTCCCAGCCCATAGGGTGCACGGTGCAGCGATTAACCCCAGCGCGCCTCGTGCAGCAGTTCAAGAACAAGCTGGTGGTGGTGCTGGGGGACTCGGTCTCTAAGAACCTCGCGGATTCAATCAAGTGCACGCTGCATGCTGCCAATCCCCGATCTATTAAGACGTTCCGCCTTGCCAGCGGAAAAACAGAGCTTGCAGGGACGTGGGTGAGTGAGTGAGTGAGTGAGCGGGTGAGTGGGTGAGTGTGTGTCAGATGCATTGGTGGGTGAGTCAGTGTGTGTGAGTGAGGGCGTGTGAGAGGGGCATTGGCGGCCGAGTGAGGGTGTCAAGTGCACGCTGCATATAGAAACACCCCAGTCCATCAAGACGTTTCGCGTTGCCAGTGGAAACACAGAGCTCGCAGGGACATGGGTGAGTGTATGAGGCTTTGGTCCGTGATTTAGAGTGTGTGAGAAGCATTGGTGGGTGAGTGAGGGTGTAAATTGCACGCTGCATGCCGCCCTGTCCTGATACATCGAGATTTCCGCTTTACCAGCTGAAAGACAGAGCTTGCAGGGACAGTGGTGAGTGTATGTGGCTCCGGATTGTGAATGAGTGTTAGTGAGAGGCATTGGTGGGTGAGTGAGGGTGGCAAGTGCACGCTCCATGCTGCCCCCTGGCCTGTTCCAACAAGTCGTTTCGCCTTGCTGGCGGAAGACGGAGGTCGCATGGACATGGGTGAGTGAGTTGGTGAGTGTGTAGGGCGTTGGTGGGTGGGAGAGTGGAGTGAGTGTGCGTCAGAGGCATTGGTGGGAGAGAGAGTGTGTGTGTCGTCTGGTGGGTGAGTGAGAGTCACACCTGGGTAAGTGAGTGTGGGTGATTGAGATGCACCGGTGAGAGAGTGAGCGGCATCGGTGGTTGCGTGAACCAGCCTGTGTTGAGAAAGAGCTTGCAAGGAAGCTGGGTAAGTGAGTCAGGCAGGTATCTGTGGGTGTGTGGGTGTGCCAAACAGTGAAGTAGAGCTGTCTGGCACCTTGGTGAGTGGGTGTCTGTGAGTGTGTAAACCAACCTGGGGGTTTGAGTTTGCCTTGTTTGTATACACTCGTGCTGTTGTTCTTCAATCGCCACTTTTCTGTTTGACACGTGTTTGAAGAAGTGTTTTGAGACGTCTCAAAACTCGTGCTGTTGTTCTTCAATCGCCACTTTTCTGTTTGACACGTGTTTGAAGAAGTGTTTTGAGACGTCTCAAAACTCGTGCTGTTGTTCTTCAATCGCCACTTTTCTGTTTGACACGTGTTTGAAGAAGTGTTTTGAGACGTCTCAAAACTCGTGCTGTTGTTCTTCAATCGCCACTTTTCTGTTTGACAAGGGATCACTTCACGCCTTTTTGATGGTGCAACTTTCTCAACCCTACCTCTTCACCCCCCTCCCAACCACACCACACCAGCCCCATTCCTCCCTTTAACCCTATCCCTCCCCCACCCTGCTCTCCATCCCCGTCATTAGATCCCTCGCTACAACATCCGGTTCGTGTCGGTGTTCTCAACGCACCTCAACAACGCAACTTCCCTGGAGGGCCAACCCAACGCTCAAGACATCAAGGCGCTGTCGCAACAACCCGAGAGCTTGGAGTCAGTTGGAGGGAGGAGCACGGATAGGAATGGAACAGCTGAGGGGATTGCAAGGAGCGCTAATACGGTGGAGAGGATTGAGACGATGGCCAATCAGCAGTCGCAGCGGATCGATCTGGACCAATTGGATCCACGCGTTGTGGATCTTCTGCCACTCGCTGATATCATCATTTTCCAGGCAAGCTGCCTTTGGGAGTCATTATGGAGTAGACCACTGTGACCATTTTCCAGGAAACCTGCTTGAATTGAACTCATATGGTGCAAGAAAAAATATTAGCTTTTGGGTCGAATTTCACTGTCCCAACCAGCCCACCGTGGCATTCTTGCAGGCGACCAACTGGTGGTACTCCCCCTCCAACCAATACTACCTCAAGAACCGCCGAGTCAACTCATGAGGTGCCACAAGATTTGCCTGTCTGTCCCAATCCACCATTGCACCAATGCAGGCGACCAACTGGTGGTACTCCCCCTCCAACCAGTACTACCTCAAGAACCGCCGAGTGAACCTGACTCGCAGCAATGCATACGCCATCGGTCTCACCACGCTCAGGAACTATGTCACTCGCTCGGCCCTAGCGGCTGCTCGCGGCTTGAAGGGGTTCAAGGGGAAGGCGGTGCTGCTGGGTGCTTCGCCCTCCCACTACAATATACCTGTGCCGGGGGTCAAACCGGGGTTCTGTGAAGTGCAGGAGATGATGACGCTGCCGCAGGTGAGCAGTTCGGGGTGATGACTTGGCATGTGGTGAGCGGATGGGGGGATGACGTTGCATGTGGTGAGCGGATGGGGGGATGGCGTGGCATCAGGTGGGTCATGCCTGCCAGAAGAAAAGAGGATGACATCCTGGGTTGCAAGAAGTGGAGAGTGCAGATTCCCTTAGAAATGTCCCCTGTCCATTCATTCCTACCATCTGATTCTCTCCACCCATCCCCCACCAGAGGTTTCTGTAGTGCATTTTCATAAAACCATTCCTTCCTTTGCAATGACCACAACTCCCTGTGGTAACCCCATTCCTTGACTGCAGCAACCCAATCCACACTCAGAATTCTTGCTTACTTATTCCTCTCCGTTGCATTCCCTTCCCCCCTTCAGACAGTTGACTTCCGCAGAAGCGATGTGAAGACCAATGTGTTCAGAGAGGTGCAGAGGCGGGTGCTGAGGGACTCGGTGATTCGCTACGTGGACGTGGGGCCAATGAGTGACTGGCGCCCAGACGGGCACCTGCAGAACTGGATAGTGTCAAGTGAGTTATCTCGTCTGGTCTACATTTATTTAAAAAATTGCACTGGCTCTGCAAATCGGGACATGAATGTGGGCTGGTGTTTGATTAGCAGACCAATGGTAACTGAGGATGTGTGGCTGAAAAGGAAAACGTGTTGCAGACAAAGTTGATATGTTATGGGTGTTTCATAACCCACTCTTATTGTGCTTCCGGTTCACCCTCGCAGGTGGCTCAACCAAGAAGAATGACTGCTTGCACTGGTGTGAGGCTGGGGTCACAGATGCATGGCTGGAGATGGTCCATAATACACTACTATTCTGACAAGCAGTGTTGCTGTTACACAAACGAAGGCGGCTGAAAGGAGAGTACAGTAGCGAATTTAGCCTATATGCTCTGCAGAGCTCGTTGTACAGAGTTGGAAAAATCAGAAGATTACTTCCACTAGCATGCTGAAGTAGTTTAGCAACAATTCCTTATCCCCTCCCCAGTAGCAGGCTCTATTGGAACTTGTAGTGCATATTGCCAAATATATATTGTGATTGTAATCAAACAGATGAACCAGTGCTGGCTTCTGTTGATGCCAGTAAAAGGTTGCTGGTTATTGCCTGTTAGTGAACGACCTAGGGTTAGGAGGGGGGAGCGCCACGACATGATTGAATGGGACAGTTCTACGAGGCACGCCTTCTACACCCTCCTCTTCATCATCGTCAAACTCCAATGAGTAGCTGCAGGCACAAACAAAAGGGCAAGTTAAAAGCAACAAGAAAATAATAAAGATTTGAACAGGTGTTTAGACTGGTTAGGCCAGGTTTTGTGTACAAGCTTGACTGAAGAGGGGTGCTAGAGAAAGGTCAGTGTGACGAGTTTGTAACATGAAAGGGAGGGACAGTAAATGGAACGTGTGCAGTATCTTACTCGTCGCTTTTCCGCTGTTCATGTTGCCATCCCACCATACGGCAAGAAAGCGTTCCAAATCAGGCAGGGACAGGGCATGGGTTGGTGAGGAAAGCAGAAGAAAGAGGCTGGTTAACAAGAAAAACTGTGGTGGAAGCAGGTTACAATCCAGGTATGTTACCATCCACAAGGCCGGAATAAATGCAACGGAAGGAACTGAGGCGCATGGTGATCAGAACGATGTAGCACAAAAAGGTCAACAACTGTTGATTTTGGTAGACGAGGAAAATTAACAGAAATAGATCAACCTGGCTCCAGATAGCGCCTACCTTGCGTGGTTGCCCAACCACTGTTGCTTGATAAAGTGCAGTGGTGCTGGGGAAAACCGCCAGCACCCTGGAGCCAGGAGGGAAGTCGGAGGCTGACATCCACTCGTTGCGCTTGTGGAAGGGGATGATGCAGGAGCCAGACAGGCGGTACTTTCTGAAGTTTTGGAAACATTGGGAAATGTTGTGGGTGAGCACTACGGGGATCACTAACTTCATTTTTGGTTGCAAATTGCATTGACTGTGAGCAAGCTTTACATGTCAGTGCCTTTTTATTCTGTGCTCACCTTTGACCACCCTCGTCCTCCTCTCCTGGTTCCTCATCGATCACATCAAATCTGCAAAGAAGGTAAACACGTAAGAAGCTACGCATAACAACAAAAAGGAACCCCGGAAGTTAGAACAGTCATCCCATTTCTCCATGAAAACGGATATGGCTCTCACCTGTTCGCTTCCCGGTCAATGCGGAGGACCTTTACGACAATCCACTCATCCTTGCCATCCTCAGTGGCAGACACTCGTGCTGCGACCTGATGTTAAAAAAGAAGACGGGAGAGAGTCTAACACCAGACAAGAGAAAATCCACACCTAGATTGCGTTCAGTTGGATTTCCTTATCCCTGTAGCAAACCTTCAGACCTCACCTGTTCTCCCACCACAACCCGTGTCAGGGCAACTGCAGACGCTGCAGAAGCGCCATCATTGAGGCCAGAAGCAGATGAGGTCAGCCCTAGAGAATTTCCTGGACCACCATCCCCACCAGCTGCTCCGTCAGCAACTGGAACTGTGCGTTGGCGCTTCTTCCTCCCACCTTCCAAAGGACCATCTGAACACCAAGGGAACGCAGAGGAAGACGAGACGCGGAGAAATAGGTAACAACCACGGCTGTTGTTTCTTTCAAGTGATACTGCACAGAGTGATTAGAAGAGTGTGATACATACATCTCACTATGCAAACCTGAATGTCAGGATAGATTCCCGAACATTGAACATGCGATTGCAAAGACCTGCCTGATTTCTTTTTGGTTCCGTGCGGAGCTGAAATGGCTGAAACTTGAGATGGGTCGAGTTCTCTGATGCAAGAGGTACAGAGACTGGAACGGGGAAGCAGAAACGTACGAAGCTGAAGACAGATTAGCAAGTACTCAAAGTTCATAAGAGGATGACATGAGAGGTAACGCGCTTTCATGCATGACGGAAAGCGAGGGCGCAATGCAAATGTACGCACCTTTCTTCAAGATCTGCAAGGCGTTTGGCCTCCACGTAGAATCCTCGTAGCTTTATCCACAGCTTCTCTCCAAAGCGTTCTGCTGTCTCCCGCGCTGAACTCGCTCAAAAGGATGGATGGCACACACACGAACAAGTTATGAGCCAATAGTAGGAGCCTTCTACGCATGAGAACGACGCCCATTACGTACGGGTTTGGCTTAATTTAGAGTGTATTTTATTTATCTTCTTCACAACAACGTCCTGCTCCCGTCGAACGCGATCCAATTCGCGAAATTGCTGGACAACTGATTCAGGAAGTGGTGTTGCTGTGGCAGCCATGAAGCGGCAAGTCAGTTGATAATGTCCAAGTTTTTGACCCAAAAATGCGGCGGCGGCCAGTGGAAAGCAGCAAGTGAGCAAATGTGCTTCCATCAATATTTGGGAGAAGCGGTACAGTACACACTGTAGAAAAAACATTCTGGCTCGAGCGAATCTGGTTACTGCGAATTCCGATGTTCAGCACTTTGCTTCAACCACATGAAGCGACAATGATTCAGCGAAACTCTTTGGTAGCAGAAGCGGCCTTCAGACTCTAAAGTGGTTACATCCACGGGCTCGACGAAACAATGTGGTTACATATGCTCGTTCAAGTAAAATGGATCTAGCAATCCCAACAATACTCACACAGCAGCCTGACAAGTCACAATGGCCCTCGTTGCGGGTTGAAATTTCGTCTACATCATCACAACCAACATTCAAGATAGAAATCGTAGACATACTAGTAGGCTCCCTGTGTCATGGCTGGGATCAGGGATGGTTCTCCCGTCTCTAGTAGACAATGGCCTCTTGTTACTTTCCAAAAGCGCGAAAGAATTGTCGTGCTTATTCTCCTTATGCTGGTTTGTGGAGTGTGCTACCGTCTGTCCTTATTTCCAGCGGGAACTGGTTCATGGCATCGCCGGCTATCCTGGAAATCAGGAAATAGCATAGAGAGCATTGCGGATCATGCAGGCGTCCTTGCCGTGACACCAGGAGGTCAATATCACTCATCTCTCGTTATGCATAATGAAGTCCAATCGTGGCAGGTAAACAGTCCGCTTCCGAGCTCATTTTGGCCCTTGCTTCTGATGGGGGACATCTGATCCTCGCATTCATCAGGCACCCGAGATCGCTTTTATTGCTAATCAAATGATGAAACAATATGGAAGACTCGACACCAAGGCCAAAAAGGATTGCAAGTTAATTCGAGACACTAGCGCGGTGCTGTGGAAGAATCACTCCAACTACGACGTTTTGACGCGGTGGAGGTCTCCTGGCATTCCAGGCTCGTTCTTCGACCACGCAATTAGCTTCAGATATAAAAGGATGGAAGGTGTATCGCCTCGGCTGAAAAATTATCAGGCAAGAAGCTAACTTGGCCAATGTTTATGCGGTGACATGCATTGTTACTAACGCGTGGCTCATCCTTTCAGTGCCGACTTCTTGTCAGAGGACAAGACTATGAGGCTCTCAGGCGCCTACCAGTGGTACAGTCTATTCCCTTCACCGACCAGCAGAAAATCGGTCCAGTGTTCAAGGACGAAAATTTGCATATGATTGCGGTGGTCTTCCCTCAGGTGTGTGACCATTTGCTTCTTCGTTCTAATGTGATCTAACGTCTTAACTAAGCCGTTTTCCCGTGTAGTACCATGCATTCAAAGAAAATGATTTGTTTTGGGGAACAAACTTCACCGAATGGACAAACTTGAAGCTGGCATATTATAACCCGTGGAACTTTCAACCCATCAAACATCCTATTGAAGCTAACGGGGGTTATTATAACATGCTCGGCCATTCCCAACGGTCAAGAATGGGAAAGCTGGCAAGGTTTTATGGCATCCACGTGAGCATAGCACACAATGTTACAGTTGTTTTGTGTTTTCTTTTCTCTTGACCCACCTGCAGAATGTGATTACGTTTGCAGGGCTTCGCATTTCATCACTACTGGTTTGAGTGCAACACTGTATTTATGGAGTCGGTCATTATGGAAATGCTGAAAGATGGACAGCCAGACCTCCCGTTTATGCTCATTTGGGCAAACGAAGCCTGGACACGGCATTGGACTGGAGAGACAGGCGAAATACTTCAGTCACAGGTAAAAGAAATCTTACCACAACGAGCTGCACGGTGTGAGGCAAATATACTCAGTTCATGATCCTTTGGTGCAGAGCTACGGGAATGAGACATGCTGGCGGTTGCATTTTCAGTGGCTGCTACCCCTTTTCAAGCACCCTAACTACGTAAGAGTCAATAATAAGCCGGCTTTTGGTATCTACATCGTCCCCCTTATCAAGGAGCTGAAGCCAATGCTGAAGCTTTGGCGATCACTCGCTAAAGAGGAAGGTTTGCCTGGCCTCCATATTATCCAGTGCCTGGGCCATAAAGACACAGGTGTTTCTCGAAATGTCAATGCTATCATGGAGTATCAGCCCAATCTGAAAAAGGGGCGGATGAAGACTGAATCTCCAACAAAAAGGCTGCACAAAGCTCATTACCGGGGGGAGTATCTTGGTTGGGACAACTTTCCAAGGCACAACCTCGACCCACATTTTGTCGTTGGGGACCTTGATGATGATCCTGTTCATGTGGAGGCAAGGCTGGAGGAGAGATTCAGAATCGCTCGAAATGATGCGAACAATGGATCGACCCCCAACCTCTTCCTCCTCACTGCATGGAATGAATGGGGAGAGGGGAACGTGCTGGAGCCAAACAACATTTTTGGGTAAGTTGGTTTGTTTTCTCTACCACGTATGCTAATAAATCATGTTAGCCTGACCTTACACTTTCCCTGTGCAGGTACGGAAACTTGAATGCAGTTGCACTGGCGTATGAGAACAGCAAGAAGGAAGCCAGCAATGACATTGACATTCTGAACAAGCTGCACGAATCTATGGATGAGTGCAGATTGAAGCTGGACATTCAGTACTACGTCGATCTTGCTGGTACAGACCTCTTTCATCTACTGAGTGGTCCTGAACCGGAAATGAGGGTAATTGAGAACTGGCAGACAGAAGGCTTCGACAAAGGCAGAGAGTTCAGGCTTGTGAGCGAGCTGGAGGATGCTGCTTGCACTGGAAAAGTGCATTGTCAGTTTCTGTGCGGAATGACTTTGGACAAACACATGGTAAGATACTTGTTGGAGGTGGACAGTGACAACGTTGGGCGATACAACGAGAGCTCTTTGAGTGAGCTCGGATGGAAATAAGACGCTTGGAATGCATCATGCGTATACGTGCTAGAGATTGGTTGTGTGTACTTTAACATGTACTTAATCACAAGAGTCTTTCTGTTCGCAATGAAAAGGTTTTACTGGTGTTTTTTTACGTAGAACTTATAAAGATATTGCAGTTTTAGAACACTAAGAGGTACACTATGACGTGAGATGGTTTTGGGTGACCTAAACATCACTTCACACTTCCGGAACGTGAGTTTTTGAGAAACAGCAAATCCACAGCAGTATCGCAAGTTAAAAGTTGACCACACCGCTTGTCTCAAACCAGATCAAGTTGCAGTGTGCACTATTTACTTCACCGCGCTCTCCTGTAATCTCGCACGATGCTTTCTTCGCTAGATGCAGCGCTCGAATCAGTGTCTGGTAGGACGTCATGTTTTGAACTTCGGTAGCTTTAGCCCTTATACGCTTTCGATTTTCGTGTACCCTTTTCTACATTGACTCTTTTTTGGCTCATGCGTCGGATACGTGCTCTTTTTGCTTAGCTGCGCCTCGTACACTACGTCCTCCTTAACTTCTTCCTCTTCGCTTGCTATTGCAGGTCCACGAACAGCTGCCTTTCAGCCGAAGCTCAAGCCTCGCGCTAGGAAGGGAGGAGCTGGCGGAGGGGCGGGTGCTGAAGCAGCTGTGCCCACAGGACAATCTGGCTCAGCAGCCGGTCCATCAGGACGGCACACTGCTCCAGCGGGAAATGTAGGGGGTGCTGCGCAGGCGGTAGCGCCACCTGTTCGCGCTACAGCCGCTGCAGCTGCTACCGTCCCATCTGGACGAACATCAGCATCAGCGCAACGTCCTCTTCCCGACGCCCCGGCTTCCGGTCCACAACTTCCCTCCCGGTCTGCAGCGCCAGAAGCTCTTGGTCTTTCCTCACCTGCGCCGTCCCTTTCGGCAACAGTAATAGCCAGGGAGACTCATCAAGCAGAAGGGTTAGGTTCGGTTCAAGGGGGTTTTGACGCCCCTTCCAGAACTGCCACTGCTGCTCCTTCCCCTGCCGCAACAGCAGCCACTGGTGCAAGAGCGTCGTCTGCATCTGCCCCTGCTGCCCCTCCAATCGTTCCCTCCTCACGTGCTCCTACCCTCCCCGCTCCTGACACGTCTGCTCGTCCCCCTCCGCGTGCTCCTGCTCCTGCCCTAGAAAACGGTCCTCATATAAATGCCGCGCGTTTAGCCCATACTGCTGCTGCCCCTAGTGCTGCGCCTGGCACTGCCCCGGGAGCAGCAGAAGTAGCAGTGCGGGGAAATGGGAGAGGGAGGGAGAAGGAGAAAGGGGTATCTGGGGCTGATAAAAGCCAAGGCGTTATTGGGTCGGGAACCAAGGGAGTGTTCTTCCCACACTCGTTCCGGAAAGGAAAAAGGCGTAAGTATCTCTGACTAAATCCTGAACCCTCAACCTGAAGCGCTAGTAACCCCAAATCAGGATTCATCCGTCGACATCCTGGCATGTGCAACAAGGCATGCTGCGACTTTGCATCATCCCGCTTCCCATTTAACCTCACAGGCCACGCCCGAGCTGCTGACAGCAGAGGGCCTAATCCCATTCCCGCTGCCCTTCGCTCTTCCCCAAAACCCCCCAACACCCCTCCCGCTCCCCTCTCTCCCCTCTCTCCCCGTGACCTCTCGACACACCAGGGTCGCAAGTGACTCCGGAGCTGCTAGCAGCGGAGGACCTGTCGGGCTTCACCATCCAGCAGATCATTCAGCGCTCCGAAGTGCTCGACCGAGAGGTGAGAGAGCGAGGGGCTTGGATCAAGTTTTGCAAGCTTGTGGAGTTGCAGTATCAGGAGGCGGCGCATTGGTCTTTGAGTGGAGACTCTTTTTGTGTTTGGTTTGGTTTTAATTTACTGTTCTCCCTCACTCATTCACCCCTCCATCCTCCCACACCCGCCTTTCCTGCTTCCCTACCCTTCCATCCTCTCCCCTTCCCCAACCCTGCCATTCCCCTCGCCCTCACTCTGTGCGCAGAAAGAAAAGGAGGAGCAGGAGAAGAAGCGGATAGAGGAGGAGGTGGAGCGGAACAGAAGGAAGCTGGCCAGGAGGCGAGGCGAGGAGGTGCTTGATGGCAGTGAGAGGTGCGTGGGGGAGGGTGATGCGGGGAGGAGTGGTATTGAAGGGTGATGTGGAGAAAGGTTGGGAGGGTTTATTTGGTGTGGTAATGTGAAAGGGGTGGGTTGGGGATGTTGCTGTTGAGGGATGGGTGGTTGAGGGGAGAATAAGTGAGATGTTTGGACAGGTGGAAGGGGAGAGACAAGCAGGGTGGTGGGGAGGAGTGTGAGAGTGTAGAGGGAAAGTTATATTTTTTTGCGGCGTTAAAAGGAACGAAAACAGTTTCTTTCTGCATGTCCTCCCATCCTCCTACCCCCCACCCACCAGCCCCGGCGCCTCTGCACCTGCCAGCAACCCCCCACCCAGCAGCAGCGGCGGCGGCGGTGGGGTATTCGCTCCCCAGGTGACAGTGATAGACGGGCGCATTGTGGTGAACGAGGCGAGTCTCACGGTGGACGCGCAGGGGGGGAGGGACGATGCGATGGAGGGGTACAAGCGGGTGGAGGAGAGCTCAGCGCGGCTCAACTATGGCACGCATATGAAGAGAGAGAAGAGCGACCGGTGGAGCGTGGACGAGACAACCCAGTGGTACCAGGTGGGTGGCTGTTTTCATGCGCCAAGGAAATCGTTTCAAACCTGTGAGGCTCAACCATGGGCACCAGCAGTTCAACCGTTTGTCACGGACTTCTAGATGCTGCAGCTGCTCTTTTTCAAGCTCTACTCCTCCTTCCCTCGTGCCCTCCTCTGGTACTCTTGTGTTTGCCTCCAGGCTCTCCAGCAGTTCAGCACGGACGTTGAGATGCTGCACTGCAGGTGCTCTTCCCTAAGCCCCTCCCCTCTCCTTTGCTGCCCCTGCCTCCTGTAATGCTTCCAGGCGCTGCAGCAGTTCGGAACGGACTTTGAGATGCTGCAGGCGCTCTTTCCTAAGCGATCTAGACGGCAGATGAAGGCCAAGTTTAAGCGGGAGGAGACGCTGCACCCACACCTTGTCACTCATGCGCTCACACACCGATGCACAGGTGGGTCGCACAGGGTTGCAGTGTAGTATATCTTTAAGTGATGCTCTCTGAAGGATTAAGGCCAAGTCCAAGCAGGAGGAGAAGTTGCATCCACACCTTGTTACTCATGCGCTCACACACCGATGCACAGGTGGGTTACAGCTGGTAACGTTTGCTCTCACACACTACTTACTGCACAGGTGCTTTACAGGTAATTACTCTTTATTCACGTGCATGCAGCGACTTCACAGGTTGCTAGTTACACATTCTCTCACACATTGACACACAGCTGTTCGTCACGATTCTCCACCATCCATCCCTTCTGTCTCTCATCCATGATCCATCTCATCTTCCATCCCTTCCACTCACTCCTATCCAGACACGCAGCAGTACGAGCGGCTGGCCTCGGCTCTCAACCCCCAGCTGGCACTGCAAGTGAGAGAAACACTGGCCGGCTCCTCTGCCTCTCCTCCCGCTCGTGCCTCTATTGCCGCCACTGCTGCTGCTTCTGCTGGTGCTGTTGCTGTGAGGGGGAGGGAGGAGGCGAGCAGGCAGAGAGTAAGCCGGCGGCAGCAGGGAGGAGCAGTGATCGGAAGGCCCGGGGCGGCCGTTGCTGCTGCCACCGCAGCTGCTGCCAATGCGCTCCATAATATAGTTGCCTCTGCCTCGGCTGCTGCTGTTGCTGCTGCCGGTGGTTCTCTTGCTGGCGCTGAAATGGATGATGGTGCGGGTAACGAGGAGGCTTATGGGGAGGATGAGGGGATGATGGAGGAAGTGGAGATGGAGGAGTGGAGAGCGGTAGCAGCAGAGCCTGCTGGAGAGGGGGAGGAGGGAAGGGCAGAGGAAGCAGGAGTTGGGCTAGAGGAGGCGCATGGGGAGGGAGATGGTGTGGATGGTGGGGAGGAGGGAATGGGTGGTGAAGGTGACTATGGGGAAGGTGATTATGGCGCAGGGGCGGATGGAACAGGGGAGTATGGGGTTGTGACACAAGAAAGCGCTGCTGCGACTCAAGTAGACGGTGACTATGGTGAGGCGGAATATGGGGAGGGGGAGGAGGAGATGGGAGGGACGATAGGGTATGAAGACCCGTTTGCTGCATATGGAGGGGACGGGGAGGTGGAGGAGGAGGAGGATCCTCTGGGTGGGTATGGCTGATGCACTGGTGCGTCTCCATCTTGATGCCCAACTTGAGGTAGTCATGGATCATGGAAAATCATGGATCAGATTATGTACGTGCTTCTAGTAATATCAAATAGTTACAGCTGTTTGAACAGTGCAACCACCAGTAGGGAAGCTGCAAACTCGTGTTCACACCACCATAGCCCACTCCCCAACACTTGGCTCAACCACTCCCTCGTCCTATCAACCGTTCCTATCCAGCTTCCAACCATGATCATTCAAGCTTTCAACACGATACACATCACTTGCTCCTCCAGCATCTCCCCTGCCGCTTCACGATTTATGCTCAAGCTGCTTCACCGCTCTACAAACTTGTCTCCTTGGCCGATTCCCTGCCCTGCTTTGCTAATCCAGTCAGAATGCTAAGCTGCTTTCTGTAGCTTAATCAATGTTTTGAAATACCACTCCAGCCCAACAATTCAGATCACTGTTTCACCAATTCAGTGTGCTGCGCTCTGCTGTGCCCTCAAAGCTCTTGCTCGTAGAGACTCCTCATAGAACTCAGACAGGCCGTAGTAGTCACTGCAGGTCGTACATGAATGAAGCAGAAAGCACAGAGCAGATTACACATAGGAGAGGAAAACAACCTCAGTTGAATCCAGAGGCACCGCACAGACAGAAGAAGATCGGGAAAGGTCAAGACATTATCAAGAGAGGGATGACGTGAACTGACCAGAGCTGTGGTAGGGTTTGGCAGCGGTTGACACATCTGCCCTCCCCGACCTCGTAGTTGGCATGGTGGATGATCATCTCCCGTATCACATGCTTCGACCACTTGTAGTCATTGTCCCACCGCACACACTGATGGTTGGAGGGTTTGGAACAGCGCGAGAGGGGAGAGGGAAGACAAATGAGAGCTTAACACCGGTTTGATCATCTGCCCTAGCCTAACTGGTCTGTAAGTCAATAGTTGGCATGGTGGATGATCATTTCCCGTATCACGTGCTTCGACCACTTGTAGTCATTGTCCCACCGCACAAACTGCCAATTGTAGAGCGAGTTTGCATCAGCAGGTGGGGAAAGACAGGAGAGAGTTTGGCGCCAGTTGACAAACCTCAGAGTCCAAAGCAGCAGAGGGAGGCAAGAGAGAGCTGGGAGCTGGTTAATGTGGCAGAAGAGCAGAAGCAGCAAGTGGCGCCAACCTCTCAGCGTTACCCTATGTTCCTGCATCCCACCACCTCCCAGTCCCATCTTCCTCTGGAACGGCCTCTTCACCACCTCCCAGTGCCACCTGCCTCAGATACAGCCTCTTCACCACCTCCCAGTGCCACCTGCCTCAGATACAGCCTCTTCACCACCTCCCAGTGCCACCTGCCTCAGATACAGCCTCTTCACCACCTCCCAGTGCCACCTGCCTCAGATACAGCCTCTTCACCACCTCCCAGTGCCACCTGCCTCAGATACAGCCTCTTCACCACCTCCCAGTGCCACCTGCCTCAGATACAGCCTCTTCACCACCTCCCAGTGCCACCTGCCTCAGATACAGCCTCTTCACCACCTCCCAGTGCCACCTGCCTCAGAAACAGCCTCTTCACCACCTCCCAGTCCCACCTGCCTCAGAAACAGCCTCTTCACCACTTCCCAGTCCCACCTGCCTCAGAAACAGCCTCTTCAACACTTCCCAGTCCCACCTGCCTCAGAAACAGCCTCTTCACCACTTCCCAGTCCCACCTGCCTCAGAAACAGCCTCTTCAACACTTCCCAGTCCCACCTGCCTCAGAAACAGCCTCTTCACCACCTCCCAGTCCCACCTGCCTCAGAAACAGCCTCTTCACCACCTCCCAGTCCCACCTGCCTCAGAAACAGCCTCTTCACCACCTCCCAGTCCCACCTGCCTCAGAAACAGCCTCTTCACCACCTCCCAGTTCTGCTGCCCCTCTGGGCGAAACACAGTTGGGTTCCACAAAGCCGCTCGCGCTGCCATGGCTGATGATGCTCCTGATGGGTGGACGGAGAGGTATAAAAGTGCAGGCAGAGGAGAAGTCTGGAGAGTGAGTTAAGCAGGAGCGAAAAACGCTTCTGCTGCTGGAATGGTGTGCTATATCTGCCATCTGCACCTGTTGCTATAGCCGCCCTTCCCATCTGTTGCTACAGCCGCCCTTCCCATCTGTTGCTACAGCCGCCCTTCCCATCTGTTGCTACAGCCGTCCTTCCCATCTGTTGCTACAGCCGCCCTTCCCATCTGTTGCTACAGCCGCCCTTCCCATCTGTTGCTACAGCCGCCCTTCCCATCTGTTGCTACAGCCGCCCTTCCCATCTGTTGCTACAGCCGCCCTTCCCATCTGTTGCTACAGCCGCCCTTCCCATCTGTTGCTACAGCCGCCCTTCCCATCTGTTGCTACAGCCGCCCTTCCCATCTGTTGCTACAGCCGCCCTTACCATCTGTTGCTACAGCCGCCCTTCCCATCTGTTGCTACAGCCGCCCTTCCCATCTGTTGCTACAGCCGCCCTTCCCATCTGTTGCTACAGCCGCCATCTGTTGCTACAGCCGCCCTTCCCATCTGTTGCTACAGCCGCCCTTCCCATCTGTTGCTACAGCCGCCATCTGTTGCTACAGCCGCCCTTCCCATCTGTTGCTACAGCCGCCCTTCCCATCTGTTGCTACAGCCGCCCTTCCCATCTGTTGCTACAGCCGCCCTTCCCATCTGTTGCTACAGCCGCCCTTCCCATCTGTTGCTACAGCCGCCCTTCCCATCTGTTGCTACAGCCGCCCTTCCCATCTGTTGCGACAGCCGCCATCTGTTGCTACAGCCGCCCTTCCCATCTGTTGCTACAGCCGCCCTTCCCATCTGTTGCTACAGCCGCCCTTCCCATCTGTTGCGACAGCCGCCATCTGTTGCTACAGCCGCCCTTCCCATCTGTTGCTACAGCCGCCCTTCCCATCTGTTGCTACAGCTAGATGCTCGTTTCACCTGTTGCCACAGCCACTGCCCTGTTCATGTTGCTACAGCCGTCCTCTTCACCTGTTTCTGCTCGGATTGGATCGAGATCATTGTAGGAAAAGACGTCGCCATTGGCAATCATAGGGAGCGACAACACCATTGCAAGGAGAGACACCCACTTCCGTTTTCACGGTGCCTATCATTCATTCTCACCTGTGGCTGCTCGGATTGAGTCGAAGTCACTGTAGGAGAAGACATCCCCGTTGGCAATGACGGGGAGGGAGAGCGACGACACCACTGCTGGGAGTGCTACAGCCTACAACTGCCGTTTTCATGTTACAACAGCCGCCATCCTTACCTGTTGCTGATCGAATGGAGTCGAAATCACTGTAGCAGAAGACGTCACCGTTGGCAATGACCGGGAGGGAGGGCGGCGCCACCACTGGTGACTGCTCCAGGGAGTGCTACTGCTGCCCCTAGAGTGGAGCGCTACAGACAGCCACCAACCTCACCTGTGCCTGCTCGGATTGAGTCAAAGTCACTGTAGCAGAAGACGTCACCGTTGGCAATGACCGGGAGGGAGGGCGGCGCCACCACTGGTGACTGCTCCAGGGAGTGCTACTGCTGCCCCTAAAGTGGAGCGCTACAGACAGCCACCAACCTCACCTGTGCCTGCTCGGATTGAGTCAAAGTCACTGTAGCAGAAGGCGTCACCGTTGGAAATGACCGGGAGGGAGAGCGACGACACCACTGCAGAGAGTGCTACAAGTGCTTCTTTCGTGTTGCTACGGCTGTTCCCCTCACCTGTCGCCGCTCTAATGGAATCGAAGTCACTGTAGCAGAAGACGTCCCCATTGGCAATGACCGGGAGGGAGAGCGACGAGACCACTGCAGGGAGCGCCTCCCACTGCGCCTTCATTGACGGGCGGTGAGGAACCTTCCTGGAAGGACGCAGTGGAGAACACAGGGGCAAAAAATGGAAGGAGGAAGAATGAGAGTCTTCAGAGTCAACTCTTTGGGTCCCAACTTGGGGAGGAGGAGGGGAAGAGGGAGTGACGGTATCATACTTCCACAAAACCTTACTACCTTGAATGTGTGTCAATCACCTTGCATGTATCCCCCTTTACCTTGCATACCCAGATCCGTATTGCCTGTGCCTTCAACAGAAGCCCAGAGGGCAAGAGGCGAAGTCAAGTGTGCGGAGGGGCGATTCCAGCAGGTGAATCGTGGCTGGGAATAGTGTAGCATGCCCTCTATTAGCCCCCCTTTTTTTTAGTCGACTTAAAAGCAAGTAGAACTTGGCTGGGAATAGTGTACCATGCATCCCCCCTACCAGCCCCCACTTCGTTGCACGCACCCCCCTTCCTTCACCACCCTCCATTCGCTCGTTCACCTTGCATGAATGCCCAGAGCTGAAATTCCTGTGCTTTCAACAGCCCGGGCAAAGTCGAGTGTGCGGTGGGGCGAGTCGAGTAGACGGATCTTGCACGTGACTGTGATGGAGGCAGGCAGGTTGCGACGCAGGGTGGAGAGGATCTGTAAGGGGTTGGGAAGGGTTTGGAAGGGTTTGAGATGAAAGGGGGGCCGATGGTGAGGAAAGGAAAGGATGGCAAGTTTGGTTGGGACGTGATGTGATGATGTGTGTGGGTGGCTGAAGCATGGGGTTTGGGGAAAAGATAGCGAGGTCACAATCAGGATGAAATGCGAGGACATGTGGATTTGCACGGGGAACAAACAGAAAAGTAACAGGGAGACAGGTGGCATATTCTTGACTTATGCCATGTGCAATCTTTAACACGGAGAGCAGCCATGCCAGATGCGGTCACATACCCACCCACTAATATCTAAACCTTGGACCCTAAACCTGAACCTTGTAGAGTTTAGATTTAAAGCCCAAGGCTTACATCACATGCGTTTTCTGGGCGGGAGAGCAGAGCAGAACCCATGCCACCACTGGTGGAGAAGGGCTTGGGGCAACCCATGTTGATGTCTATGGCTGCCACGTCGTTGCAGCTGGGGGGTGGGATGAGATGAGCCATAAGGTGGATGTTTATGAGATGTCACATGGAACACAGGGCGAGATGCGACACATGAGATGACGCTTCAGGTGACACTTGAAATGACACATGAGACGACACACGAGTTGATGGATAAGTTGGCACATGAGGTGAGACTAGTGTTGAGGGGCTGAACAAGGTCACAGGGCATAGACAGAAGGCGAGAAGGAAGAGAAGAGAAAGAGGAAGGCACGAAGAGGAGGTAGAGATGATGGAAAGGGTGCTAGAGAGGAGGAACTGACACCATTTCGGCAGCCCTTAAAGCCCGGACAGCATCAGCGGTGCCGATCTGGAAGGCCACTCGCGTCTTCTCTGCCTCACACGTGCGGAACACCACGATGCCCGTGGTGGGTTCAACAAAGTCAACGGAATTCAACACAGCTGGGGGACGGGAGGGGGCGGCGGGGGGGATAAGGTGAAGGAGGGGGGGAAGGGACAGAACACCACGATGCCCGTGCTGGGTTTAACAAAGTCAACGGAATTCAACACAGCTGGGGGATGGAAGAGGGGGTGGGGGAGGGGAGAGGGAGGGGGAGGGGGGGAAGAGAGGGAACACCACGATGCCCGTGCTGGAATCAACAAAGTCAACGGAATTCAACGCAGCTGCAGAATGGGAGAGCGAGGGGTGGGGGAAGGAGAAGAGAGGGAACAACACGATGTCCATGCTGGGACTAACAAAGTCAACAGAATTCAACGCAGCTGGGAGATGGGGATGGGTGGATGCGCAGAGAAGAAAGGAGGGTGGTGCTTGTTTTCCCTGCTTGCCAAGCCAGAGGTTGAGCCAATTGCTGGTTGCTATGAGGAACAGGCCTGACACTTATGCGCAGTGTGGTCTATCACCTCCTCACTGTACACCAACCTCATTACATAAACGCAAAAAACCCTTAATGCATAAATAAATCACAATTTATATCACTCACAGTTGACCACTCTCTTGCACTGTACAAAGCGGTGGTCGATCACCTCCTCGCTGTACACCATATCCGCGCCACAGTCCAGAGCAAGCAGCCGGAATGCGAGGGTGTTCTGGGCGGCACGAGTGGGAAGGAAGGGTTGGGAGGGGTAAGAATTTTAATCCGCTTAGAGACCCAAAGTTGAAGAGTAGAAGTTCGGGGGAACAATTAAAGCTCGCGTCAGGGTAAAGACGCTTTGGAAAGGGAAAGCTATGGGATAATTAAGAGAAATATCATTCCATTGTAGTACAAATAAGGACCCTGATTGAACGAGCGTCGCTTACCACTCTAACCATGGGAGCGAGGATGTTCATTCCTCTATACGTCAGCTCCCCTTTTCCTAGCGGAGCTTTCCCCATCTCGTTGTAACCGGGTAACCCGGGCGCCCCCACGCCTCCTTCGTACATGTCATCCGTAAACACGTACGCTTCGTCCGCTTGTGGCCCACCGTCAGTTACCATTCCGTCCGCCAAGTTGCCGGTCGTCATGTCAACGGCAGCTCCGTTAGAACGAGTTTCAGATGGATACGCGTTACAAAAAGATGCTCCATCGGACGAGCTAGTGGCGCAGGAGAGCTCAATATCGGGCCTGCTTGTGATAGGAAGAGTCATGGCGACTGGTGTGTGGTTCACGGCTGCAGATACACAGTTAAAGTTTCATCGAATGCGCGAATTAGTCCACTTCAACGCAGAGGCTTCTTACTGTTAACGATCTTATGTCGCGAACGCGAACGTAGCAACTGCTTGTTGAAAGAGCAAAAGCTTGACTTGCGAACTTCTGGCTACCTACCAGCCACACTGGCTGGAATTCGAGGTGTGGTGCATTTGCAGCCTCAATGATCATGTTCAACGCCAAAGGCACTGGGTTCTCTACGTTGCGGTACGTTTGATTTCGGTTTTGCGTGATTTTGCTAATTCCACCTTCTACCCCATTTTGACCCCATTTTGATAATCCCACCCAAGCACTCTCCCACCGCCAATTTGCGGCAGCAGATGCTTGTGGCGGAAATTTCTCGAAAACTTGCGGAGCTCCCAAGGTTTGGGAGCACCCGAAATTCACACTACAGAAAGGTTGCGATTCAAGCCACCAGGCCTTACTCAAATGGAAGAATACATATTTAGCTCTATAAACAAATGGAAGACAAAGACTCATACTTTCTCAGCTCAAACACATCCCTAATCCCAGCTTCCTCAAAAGCAGAAACTATTAAACTGGTGATTTTAGGGCTCCCACAAGATTTCCATGAGTACAACCAGGACTATTACAATTCCGCTATCTTTGGCTTTCCCTTACTGCTTCTCGAACTCCCTCTTCCCCGACCCCCCTTCTTGACTTGCCCCTTTTTTCTTTTGCCGCCATATCCCCCCTTGTGCTGGCGTGGGTGTATATTCTGCCCCCGACCTCCCTTCTCTCCTCCCAATCCAACATGAAACACCCCACAATCCCCACCAGCCACAGCACCGTCAAGTGAGCAGCCTAGAACCGCTCCCACACCCCCACTTCCACCTGCACTTCCATCTTCCCCATCCTCCTCCATCGCTACACACCTGTCTCCACCGCCCAAGCCATCTCCCTCATGCGCATCAGCCCTTCGTATACCACCCTGATTCCCACCATCATCACCATCAGAATCTTCACTCTCTGATTCTAGTTCTGAGTCAGAATCGCTGCTACAAGCCTCGCCCTCCTCCCCTTCCCCCTCCCCTCTGCCCACAGAGCTCCCCTGTCCGGCCCCAGACAAAGCCCTCTCTGCTGCCGCCACGGCATCTGCCGTGCGCAAGTCAACCAGACCTAGTGATAGGTCCTGAAGTTCAGAGGGAGGGGGGGGAAAGTGTTATGAGAGCAGAGAGAGTGGTGAGAGCAGAGAGGGTGGCGAGAGCAGGGAGAGTGGTGACAGCAGAGTGGTGAGGGAACGGGCGACTGATGAGAGCACGGGAGAGATGGACAGCACAGAGATGTGGGAGGAACGGCCACTGACTCATCATCTTTACATGCTGATTCACCATCTCTTAATGCTGACCCACCATCTCAAAATGCTGACTCACCATCTCAATGTGTTGCTGTGAGTCGTCCACTGCCTCCATGCTCACTGAATGTTGGCCCTGCTCCTGTGGTGTGATCACGGGACGGAGAGGCAGAGGGCCGAACAGAGAACAAAACATTATGTATGAGGCGAATCAAGAATTAACTAACCGCTTCATGCCCCTGCTCCTGTTGGTGATCAAAAGAGGTCTGGTCAGACATGGTTGAGGAGTGAAGACCAAGGGCAGCGTGTCCAAAGTCCTAATCTTCCCTCGTACCTGTATTCGCCCATCCGCACCTGTATTCGCCGCTACGAATCTCTAAGGTTCGTTGCAGCTTGTATATCATCTGCTCTCAATATGGAATAAATTGCCGACATTCCGACCCCCATAACCACAACCACGTTCGTCCAATTGCTTGATTTCTCGTCACCAACTCTCACCATCCACGCCTCTATTCGCCCATCCTTACCTCCATTCACCCCTTTGCACCTCTCTGCACCCCTCTGTACCTCTATGGCTCGCTGCAGCTTCTGGTTCTCCTGCTCCATCTGGGGTAAAAAACCCCGCAGGCGAGCCAGCACTGGCAGCACACGCGAGGAGAAAGACGCATGGAGATAAGCGGGGAGATAAGTTGGGGGGAAGTCAGAGAAAGATGCAGGGAGATACGCAGGGAAATGGGAGGTTTCACGGTTGGAGATTATTCAGTCAGGTGCGAAGAGGTGGCGCGAAAAATGAGTGGCTGAGGCACGACGAATGTAGTCCGCAAGCGATTTCACGCCAAGAAAGAATTTGGGTTTGGAGGTTCGGGGGTTAAACGTTAAAAAATCCCGACCCCTGAACCCTGACCCTGGGGAATCTAACATATCGCGAATTTACGAGTAGCACGGTAACGCACCCGAGCTCTCCCCAACCGGCGATGTGAACATAGCTGGCGGCGCTTGCCCCTGCCATGGTGGCTTCTGCTGTTGCTGCTGCTGCTGTTTCTGTGCGCGCGGGTTCGTTTTGCCTGGCTGCGCCAACAGACGCTCCACTGGATCGGGGAGAGAAGAGGAGGAGAGCCGGACAGGTCGTTACGTTGAGTCGACTTAAAGAAAATGCGAAGTGATATAAAAAATCGAACGGTAGGTCAGGAAAGAAATTGGCGGACGGAGGGGTTGAGCATGGTCGTGAAACCACATTTGGAGGTAAAGATATCTACTACAAATAAAAAACAATCTAGGTGACGGCCAAGTGGGAATATGACGTACAGAAAGGCAACGAATCACCGCCGACGGTGAGTAACTCTTTGCTTGCCGCGATTGACGCTGGCGGCTTTCTCGGACCGCTGCGAGCGCCTTCCGTCGAATCGGCCATTGGAAGGAATGCGAAAGAACGAGCTACACTGCGATGCAAAACCAATGGAATGATGGGTGGGTGGTAGTGGGAACTGGGAGGGGAGATAGTAGTGCCAGCAAATGTACGTGTGCTTGTCAAAGGTTTTGACCGCGTGTCCAGCGCATACGTTTTGAACTGAGGTACAGTTCATTATCTGCGGTTTATTTTGTTGCGGCATGGTGCAAACGGTGAAGATTTAAAAACGCTTTGAAACTCCTGATAACGTCTCAGACCACGACGGATGACTGTATAGTACCTGTTAACGTACGCGCTGGACCCGCCCTGAACGTAGGAATGGACTTGGGTGGTTGGGGAGAGGGGTAGCTTTGTAGGAAGTGTAACCAGCTCGACGACTATGCGAGCTGGCGAGGTTTCCTTAATGCGAAAGCGCGACTGTCTGTATAACGTCGTAACCAATGGAGTGGGCTTGGTGGATGACGGTCCCACCTACCTGCAACCTGGACAGGCGATGCCACGACGGCCGTTTTGCCGACGTTACTTGTCGCAACCAACGCTGCTCTCACAACCCGAAAACAATTCAGGGGCATCACAAACACTTACAGGAGTCCAGGAGGATGACGCTGAAGGAAAACATAGGTTTTGAGCACGAGTAGTGTATATGAAGTTCCCAGTGTGACGCGGCTGAGGATGTGTGAAACTAAGGTCAGAAATAACATCGATGAGGGCTACAAATTAAATTTATGTACTTTTGGCTCTCATTTCGTCGCCCGGCCATATTCGCAAATCTTACACCCCTGATGCCCCCATGTGATTCTTCTCCAATTGGCCGATAGCGGTTGGCAGCAGTTACAGCATCACAAGGGGCGGCAAGAAGCTGTTTCGCCTCCACTCGTAGCGCCTCGTTTTTGCTCGCATTGTCTCGCCTCCCCTCACCTTGCCCTGCCTCGCCTCCATCGCATCGTATAACCTTACTTCGCCTCACCTCGCCACACATGCTAATCTCTTCGCGTAGCAGGAAAAGTGTTGGCACTTGCCAACCACCGAACTGGAAAATGGAGGGGAAACTGTAGTGTGTAGGGCGAGGCAGGAAGGCAGCACAGAGCAGCATTGCTTTTGCGTTGCTGCGGCACCATGCTTCGTAATTTTGCAAGTTACTTTTGTTCGTGTAGGTATTGTACGTAGTTGTGGCACAATCACCGGCTCGTCTTCGTAACGCATACCTCCTCCCGCAACGTTTCTTTATTTCGAAAGAACGCGGCACGATCATAGATCCACCACAAAGCACAGATTTCGGTTGGCGTTTCTTTTAGATCCACCACAGTCCCCGTCCACCTCGTCACACTCCCCTGGTGTTGAACAGTACCGGGTCCATAAACGCGCAGCTCTTGTTCCAGAATAAGAAGCAAACGATAACAAATGCTTCGGAAATATTAGTTTCCAAACTTTTCTGATTCAGCTCACAGGTATGGCTGCTGCAATCAACTCCGCCACGGCGGAGCATTCACCACTAGCCTCCACCTCTCACTCCCCCGATTGCGCCTTCCGCCACCGCTCCCCCTCCCCATGCGCTGCGACCTGGTCGCTCCCTATCAGCCACGCGGCTTCCGCTTCCGCCTCCGCCATGCTCCTCGTCCTCCCCGACGGCTCGGCGCGCCTATACACGGAGGAGCTGACCGTCGCACAGCTCGCATGCGACTTCCCCGACCTCGTCGTCAGCTGCACGGGTATCGACTCTGGCGATAAGTGCGACGGGGGAGTGCGCGACGATTGCGACTCGAAAGCTCAAGAAAAGGAGTCCAAGCCTCGAGGCGCGTTTCTCTCTGACCACACGGTCTTGCAATTGGGCAGGACGTATTATCTCTCGAACCGCGACGGTCCCTGCTCGGATCCTTCTGCTGCTTCTGGGGCGATGAACGATTCGAGACGCAGTAGCAACCCCAGCAGTAGCAGCTACACTACTAGTACCTCTATTATCGAGGATATACGCAACCGCGAAGATTACTGTACGAGCGGTGCGAGTATTAGCAGCAGCGGAGACGGCAGCAGCTTCAGTGGGGGAAGTTGGCGAACTTTCTCGAGTGGCGACGAAGTTTTGTGTAACAGATCGGATGCTGGTTCCAGTAACAGTGGTAACCTCTCCGCTGTGGTTTCGACCGGAACGGAAAGCAGGCGCTTTTTGTCTAAAGAATGTACGATAGCCTGTCACAGGCGATCACTGTCGCTCGTGTTCGCGGACGCGCAGATGCCTTCGCCACGGCAAAGCGTGCCCTGTAATGTTGGTAACCAGCAAGCTCGACGATCACTCACTCCCACCATTTCGCGCTCAGGCGAGCTTTCGCCCGTTCTCTCTCACATACGATCTGCCCAGCGACCTCCTGCGACAAGCTCCCCCGTCGCAAACCGCCGCCAGTTCCTTCGCACGACCACTCCGATGCGCGATCGTCCCATCGCACCTCGTCACTTGCGAACTCGCACGGAAATCCTCGGTGATGCTCCGATATTGACTGACTCACTTGTGGGTGATGCGCCCATTGCTGGATGGCGGACTATAACGAGCGCTGATTGGGCTTCGCTACAAGACACTCTTCGCCAAAATAAGCTCCAGCTCCAGCGGTCGCAGTTACAGCCGTCGCAGCTACAACCGTCGCAGCAGTGGTCGCGCGCGGCTCCCCGCCGCAGAAACTTCTCCGCCACCACAGCGGTTTCCCCCGCTGACTGGATGAGCGCCACTCCTTCCGCCGCCTCCCTTCCCCGCGACCGTGTGCGGAGCCCCGGTCGCGCACGAGCGCAGCTGGCGGCGCACGGGGCAAGCGGACGTGGCGCGGCAGCAGCAGGAGTTGTGGGCGGCACTGCAGTCGACCGACCTGTGGAAGTGTGCCACGTGGCAGTGCCAGCTGGCAGGGCACTGAGGCGGTGCGTTTCGCACACGGAGACACGGGTGGGGGAAGGGCGGGTGGTCTGGTGGGGCGGGGAAGCGGAGCAGGCGCAAAGGCAGGGGGAGGCGGAGGCGGAAGGGGGGGAAGCACATCAAGAAAATGACAAGACCAGGATAGACGATATCCAAGAGCTAGAACCGGTTGATTTAGGCAGTGGCGGCGTGGTTAACGGTGGTGACTGTAACGAGGGTGACACAAACGATCTTCCTGACTCCCCTAACAGCACCAGCAGCGGTGACAGCACCGATAGCGAGGCAGATGCTAACGAGGCGTTTTGGGACTCCCCTCGCTGCTTCTTCTCCCCCCTCTCCCTCTCCCTCCCTCGCTCCCCCTTTACTGCGTCCGTCCCTGCTCCCTCGCTCCTCTCTCTCACCAACACTCCCACCAGCAAGTCCGCAGAATCACCCACTACAGTCACGTCTGCTACAGGAACAGGTGTTGTGCATGCACCTGTTACAGTCACGTCTCGCCCTGGCCACACCCGCCGTCGCACCATGGATATATGCCTGCCTCTGCCGTCGCTCTCCCCTGCTCCTGCTACAGTCCCTGCTGCAGTCTCTGCCCGGAGAGGATCTTTTTCAGCTGCCCAGTCACCGAAAAAGACTCCTTCGGGCGGTGCAGGAGGTACGGGAGGTGCTGCGGCTGCTGCCTTCTCTCCATCCCCTTTAAGAGCCAACTCGGGTGATGGGATAAGGAGTGCAGCTACACCTACACAGGAAAGCTCGCAAAGCTCTAGCAGAAGCAGAGCGCTTCTAAGGAGCATGAGCAGCAGAGAGCGGCAACGCAGCAGGGAGAATATGCCATGCAGCAATTTGAGTGGGACTAGTTCCCCTTGCCCAGAGTCGAATTCAGGGTGTAATGCTGGAAGAAACCCTAGCCCATTGCCCTGGGTGCACGCCAGGGCAAACTCCCTCTGGAATTCATTACCCCAGCTGTCCTCTGCACCATTGGATGCTTCCTGGAAGGTGCAGGAACAGAACACTTGCAATAGCAATGGAGGCAGCACAAGCGACAACTGTGGTAGCACCAGCAGCAGCAACAGCAGAGCAAGCAGCAGCAGAACGAGCAGCGGCAGCAGCCGCAAGTTCAGTTTGCTCAATTTCAAATCTCTCTCCATCTCCATCCGTTCAGGCAACAACAACTGCAGCAGCTGCACCAACTCTCCTCACTCCCCCTTCTCTCCTTCCCCCTCAGAATCCCCCATCCCAACTGCAAGCTCCGTTTCCTCCTTTGACTCTTCCTTCAATTCGTCATTCCCCCACTCCTCCACTTCCTCCTCCCCTGCCTCTTCCACCTCCTCCCCTTCCTCCTGCTTCTCCTCCCCTTCCTCCTGCTTCTCCTCCCACTCACCCTCCCTCGTGTCCCAATCTCACACACCCAATCCCCACATCCCTCAGAAACATCCCACCCAAAACCTGCTTCCCACAAACCAGCTCCTACCTTCCCTGGCCCACCCCTCCCTCAGTTGCACCTCCCCCACATCCCACCTGGACGCAGTCAAACCCAGCTCGCCCCACTGCAGCCACTCACCACACTCCACCGCATCCAACTCATCCCCCTTGCCCCCTCTGCCTTCACCGTCCGGCCTGCCAGTGCATGTGGGCCGGTCCCCTGTGTCGCCTCACTCGCTCGCCAAGGGGACAGGGAAGGTGGTGAGGGCATCACGATTCCAGAGGCAGGAAGGAGAGGGATAAGACCCTTAGGCATCTGACTGTCAACCTTGCCCTGCAGAGGCATGAGGGCAGGGCCCCTCTGTCCCCTCACCCGCTCTCCAAAGCAAGGGCCTTGCGACGGGTGAATGATGGGCAGCTTGTCTGTACATAGCATCCTGTAATGTATATGTACTAACTTTAATTGTTAGTAACATTTTGTCTACATACGTTGATACTGTACAGCTACACTTACAGTTATGGTACAGGGTTTGAGAAGAATCTAGGAAATGCAATTTAGATCCATTACATGTTCAAACCCTGGGATATTATTGGTGACGTGACATGCCGCACACGAGCCCCCACCCCACCCTCCTATAGCTCCCCCATCCTCCACGTCCCCACCCTCCCTCTCCCCACCTTGCATCATCATCGAGTCACTCAAGAACCCAAACCCGGTCCCTCAAATCTACACCCTAGTCTCATGAACCCAGCAGACCATTCCACACTCCCATGCCCCTCCCCTTGACCCTTCATTCTCCATGCCCCACCAGGTAAAGGATGCTTATTGCCCATACCCCTCTCCCTCCTCGCCCTCGTCCACCTCTTTCCCCATACTCCACGCCTCCAGCTCTTCCTCCCCTCCCTCCCTACGTCACCGCTCACTTCTCTCAATGCCCCACCCTCCTAGAACCCAGGCGATCGCTCCACGCCCCTACGCCCCTCCCCTTGGCCCCCCACGCCCCACGTCCCCATCCCCCCTCCCTCTCCGGGAGACTGATGCCCGTACCCCTCCCTGTCCTCCCCATCCTCCACCTCCTCCCCCATGCTCCATGCCTCTAGCTTTCGAGACAAGGCCCTCAGGCGCTCCCTCTCCCTCTGCAAGTGTGTGCGAGCCAGAGTGATATCCTGAGGGGGGCAGACGAAGAGGGAGGGGGGGGGGGGGGGGGGAAGAGACAGGCACTGAGGCACGCCAGCGGAGTCCTGTAGTGTTGTACTTTGTTAAAACGGGCAACCCCCCTCCCTCCTCCACCTCCTCCCCCATGCTCCACGCATCCAGCTTCCGAGAGAAAGACCTCGGGCGCTCCCTCTCCCTCTGCAGGTGCGTGCGAGCCAGAGTGATGTCCTGAGGGGGGCAGACACAGGGGGGGGGACGAGTCACACTGAGGAATCACTCTCCCTCCTCCCCCTCCACCTCCTCCCCCATGCTCCACGCATCCAGCTTCCGAGAGAAAGACCTCGGGCGCTCCCTCTCCCTCTGCAGGTGCGTGCGAGCCAGAGTGATGTCCTGAGGGGGGCAGACACAGGGGGGGGGACGAGTCACACTGAGGAATCACTCTCCCTCCTCCCCCTCCACCTCCTCCCCCATGCTCCACGCATCCAGCTTCCGAGAGAAAGACCTCGGGCGCTCCCTCTCCCTCTGCAGGTGCGTGCGAGCCAGAGTGATGTCCTGAGGGGGGCAGACACAGGGGGGGGGACGAGTCACACTGAGGAATCACTCTCCCTCCTCCCCCTCCACCTCCTCCCCCATGCTCCACACCTCCAGCTTCCGAGAGAAAGACCTCGGGCGCTCCCTCTCCCTCTGCAAGTGTGTCCGCGCGAGATTGATGTCCTGAAAGGGGCAGACATAGGGGAGGAAAGAGACACTCGTAGGAATCCCTGGGCAGGTGAGAGTGGATAGCTCAATGGTTGAGACCCTGGGCAGGTGAGAGTAGATCGCTAGGCACTGTTGCAGCTGGCCCACCTCCTCCTCCTGCTCCTGTAACTAAACCCCAACTCTGCTAACATCCCTTTTCACCACATCTTACCGCATCAGATTAGACTACACCGCACCACACCATACTGAGGGCAGGTCTGAGAAGATTGCCAGGTGCAGCTGCCCCACCTCCTCCCCCTCCCACTGCACCTCCAGCTAACCCCATCCCCTCTCACATCCCTTTCCACCGCATTGCACCACATCTCATCACACCACACCACACCACACCACACCACACCACACCACAGCACACCACAGCACACCACAACGTATCCCACCACGCCGCACCACACCGCACCGTGGGCAGGTCAGAGTAGATGGCGAGATCATGCTGCAGGCGCCCCACCTCCTCCTCCTCCCCCTGCACCTCCGCTGCCAGCTGTAACAGGGCAGCCATGTCCACGTCAGCACTGTACCCCGCAGCTTCTAGTGAGCCCTGAGAGGGAAGAACGGAATAGAAATTCAAGAAAGGAAAAGAAGAAAGAGCATTCATTGACCCAGATGTATCAGGGCAGTCATGTCCACGTCAGCACTGTAGCCCGCAGCCTCTAGTGAGCCCTGTGGGAAAGGGAAAGGAGGGAGAGGGAACAAGAGGAATAAAAAAACTCCATTCTTTTGCTGCTGCGCAGGAGAGAAAGAGGGAGAGTTAGAGCGGAGACCCAAAGACATGGAAAACCCCATTTGTTCTCTTCCGCCAGCCATGCCATCACATCCACCTCACTGGTGACGTGGCAATGTTACTGTGCCCACGTCGGCAGGTCGCACGAGCGCCGCCAGGACTTTAACCACTGCCACCATGACATGTCGAGCACGGGCTCCGAGCAGGGGCGCAAGGGCGACTCAAACATCCAGGTGCCGACTCTGGCTGCACGCCTGATAATGAAGTGCCGCCTTTTTTGTGCCTCACTCATTGCTTGGGAAAAGGCAGAACTTCTTTTTCTGGCGTGCAGCCAGATTCGACACCTGGATGTTTGAGTCGCTCGAGAGTGCGCCTGTGCTCGATATGTCATGGTGGCAGTGGTTAAAGTCCGCGCTTGTTCTGTCATGCCATGCCATGCCATCATATCCATTTCACAGGAGAGGTGGTACTGCAACTGTGTCCACGTCGGCAGTACAGCACTTTGCCGCCGCGAGTGAGAAGAATCGGGGAGAATCGAGAAAATCCTCCATCAATCTCCCCAACCCCCTCACCCACGCACACCTGAGCACCAAACTCCTGCAGATTTAGTTGTTGCTGCTCCTGTTGAGGCTCAGCTGCTGCCGCTCCAGTTGATGCTCCTCAAACGGCACCCTCTATTCCCCCTTCTCCGCTTATCCTTTCCCTATCTCCCCCATCCACTCATCCACCCACACCCATCCCACTCACGCCCACCTGTATGGCGGATTGCTGCAGGCCCAAAACTCTGCTGCTGCTGCTGTTGAGGTGCCTCAAACATCATTCCCCACCTTCTTCCCATGCTGAAACTCTCCCACTGTCCACCCATTCACCCACACATACCTGAGCGGCAGATCGCTGCAGGCTCAGCTGCTGCTGCTCCTGTGCCGTTCTCCTGATTTTGTCTGCCACGTCATCAGTGGCCCTGCTGATGTCATCGTCCGATGGCAGCTGCGCCTTCCAGCTGGCAGCACAGCACAGGGTGCCACGTGGCAGAGGGAGGTGGAAAAGAGAAGGTCAAGGAGGTTGACAACTACAAATAAATGTAAATCCAACAAGAAAAAAACTGCAAGAAAGAACGGAAAGAAGGACGAGTGTGAGAGAAGCTAGATTAAGCTGCTCTTAGCCTTCTCCCCTCACACCCACCCTCACCTCTCGATGCACTCAGCCAGAGCTGTGACCTGCTCCTGTCTTGTCTGCAGGCTGGCCTGGGTCTGCTGCATCCGCCGCAGCAGCTGCTCGCAGTGCCATGCGCGCGTTGAAAGGTGAGTCACTGCGCTGGGAAGACTGGAGAGATGGAAACAAGGCATGGAAAGTAAGGGGTGGGGGGGCGGAATGGGCAGGTGTAGCAGGCTTGTGTGGGTCTGGTGCATGCGCTGCAGCAGCTGCTCGCAGTGCCATGCGCGCGTTGACAGGTGAGTAACGGTGCTGGGGAGGCTGGGGGGAGGGGAAAGGAGGCAGGGACGAGGGAGAGGGGTGAATGGGTGGGTGTAGCAGACTGGCGTGGGTCCGCAGCATCCGCAGTTGCTGGCAATGTCAAGCGCGCGTGGACAGGTGAGTGACGACGCTGAGGAGGCTGGAGAGAGGGGAACAAGGCATGGAAAGAAAGAGGGGAGAGGGTGAATGGGTGGGTGTAGCAGGCTCTGCTGCTGTAGCAGGCTCTGCTGCTGTAGCAGGCTCTGCTGCTGTAGCAGCGGTGGCTATATGCACTTACCGTGGTCCTAAATACGCCATGCGTATGGTTAGTAACCTATTGCACACAGCACATGCATGTGAAATCTCACCAGTGTGGGTCCGTGACAGCGAGCAATTGGCAGAGCTCTGCAATCTGCAACACCGCTTCTGTTGTGTCAACGTCATGGAGCTTGATCGCGGAACTCGCCCAACACTGCTGCCAGCATGGCTTTCAGGTGCGCTGCCGGGAGGAAAACAAAAAGGACTCACCAGTGCGGGTCGGTGACTGAGAGCAGTTGGCAGAGCTCTGCAATCTGCGACACTGCTTCTGTCGTGTCAACGTCACGGAACTCGCCCAACACTGTTGCCAGCACTGCCTTGAGGTGCGCCGCTGAGAAGGAAAGAAAGGGAGAGAGGAAGGAAGGAGGTGACTTATGAGTAGACCCAAAAGAGCTCTGCAATCTGAGACACTGCTTCCGTGGTGTCAACGTCGCGGAATTCGCCCAACACTGCTGCCAGCACTGCCTTAATGTGCGCCGCTGGGAGGGAGGGGGCAAGAGGAAGGACGGATAAGGAGGGAATTCAGGCCACCACAAGGGATTCGCAGAATACTGATGAGAGCACGACCCTCTGACGTCACGTTTCAGGCCACCACAAGGAATTCGACTGACATCGAGCGAGATCCACCCAATGCAGCATCTTCATCGTCACCAGAACCACCTTCAACAGAATCCCCTTCACCAGAATCACCTTCACCAGAAACACCTTCACCAGAATCACCTTTGCTAGAACCACCTTTACGTGAATCAACTTGAGCAAAATCACCCTTCACTGGATTTACTTTCACCAGAATCACCTTTACCGATTTTCCTAATATCGCCTTAACAGACTTCACCTTCCGCTCGGTATCCTCGAGCCTGGATCTCCGCTTCCGCCATCATCGGCGACTTAGCGGCGGACGTTGCTACGCTCCGCGCACCCTGATTCCCACCGGCGTTTCGGCCGCCGCTGCTGCTGCTGCCGGCGTTAATCCTGCTGCCAGCGCTAACGCTGTTGCCGGCAATATTGTTGCTAGAATCGCTGGCTCTGCAGCTGCTGCCGCTGCCGCTGCCGCTGCCGCTCCTCGCGCTGTCGCTCAGAGCTAACGAGCAGCCTTCCGGACTAGAGAAAAGCCTGGTTCTACAGTCACTATCCGCCATGATAGCGTTGCAGTCTCTTGTTCAGAAGGCACAGACTTTCTACCAACACCAAACAAAATCAAGCAAACATCAATCCTGGATCCCAAGCAACAAACGCTGATTCGTCGGTCCTAGTTCGCGACTGTCGCTAAACCGTTCGCAATGTCGTAGGCCACGCAAGTTCCGCGACACCCAGACAACCCGATGTTGCAACGAAAAAAACGCTTCATGCAACTTTCGTTACTGAGTTGCGACAGTCGTCAAGCAGCTGAGCGGGCATTCAGCATTTTTGAGACTTGTCGCAAACAACACCAAGAACCCAAACTATGTTCGCCCACTTCGCCATGACATGTACGTCCCAGTGACATAGGATTGTAAGCATTCACCCTACTCAGTCCATGTGTACAATTGTGTTTTCTGTAATTGAAAGCTCGTACTCACTTTGTTTCACATTGCGCATCCACCAGAGAAATACTGTACATGAGATCGTTATGGAAGCATAATGATACCGTACAACAAGAATCAACAGGCCCCAAAACCTTTGGATGTGTCCAGGTAACAATCTGCGACAACATCCAGGTCAACGCAGTCAACGGAGTCAACGCTGCTGCCCTCCTGGATGCCTATTGTGGTGATCACTGCGTGGATGTTGCGGGTGGTTTCCTGGAAGCTGTTGGTACAAATCAAGCGACTGCTGGTTCATTGGCAAATACGCGTATCTGGGCGAAGGGGGGTAAGCGGGCAGCAACTGCTGACTTGGCACTGCCATTCCGTGCTCTGCAGGGACCACTTGTGCTCCTGCTGATGCTGCTGCTGCTCCTGATACTGCGCGCATAGCTCCTGGTGCTGCTGCTACCGCTGTTGAAGCTCCGGCTGCAAACTCTGAGCCAAATGCCACATGCTGCAGGCTTGCATTTCTACTACCTGTGCTCACGCCTGTGGCCGTGCCTGTAACCATGCCTCCGTCTGTGCCTGTGCCCATACCTGCTGACAGAGCAGGGCTCCTCTGACCTGCCCTGTCGCCTCGTGCAGGGGCTTCACGCCGTGAGGCTTGCACCTGCCCCATCGCCTGCCCTGTTTCCCTGGAATGACTGGAATTGCCAGAATGCCGTTTTGCATACCCCCCTGCCTGTGTGCGCGTGTCCCGAGTGGAAGGTCCAGCAGTCCTTGATACAACAGGCTGTGCTGCTGCTTCTGTGCTAGATCTCACACCAGGTGTCACACCAGGTGTCACAGGAGCAGGTTGAGAAGAGGACATGGGAGGTGGAGAGGAGGCGATGGGAGAGTGAGGGGAGGAGACGTGCAGAGCACTCAACTGGGCCATGTAGTCAACTGCTCCCTTCCCCGCCTCTGCTCTCTCTCCCTCCCTCCCTTCCTGACCAGTCTGCAGCTGCAGCTGCTGCGGCTGCTGCTGTCGCTTCTCTGCCTGCCTTCGTTGCTGCTGCCTCTGCTGCTTCTCTAGCTGCCTCTGCTTCTCTGCCTGCTGCTGCTGCTTCTCTAGCTGCCGCTGCTGCTCGGCCTGCTGCAGCTTCTGCATCTCAACATGCACTGGAGACAGCACACCGCCTGCAAGTTGCGCTACAGCCGGATTTTGCGCTACAGATGGATTTTGCGCTGCAGCTGGAGTGTGCGCCACAGCCCGATTGTGCGCAGCAGATTTATTAGGATGTGCTGGAGTTGGGGCATGTGCTACAGCTGCAGCAGATGGGTGCACAATAAACTGTTCCTGCGCATGGCTTGCCCTCTCTGAGGCGCGTGCCTGCTCCTCCTGCTTCAAAAGCAGCTGGTGAAATCACATCCGTGCAGGGCATGGGAATGCAATGGGGAGAAAAGAGGTAGGGGGGGGGGGGGGGGGGGGAATAGTGAGTCGACTCAAAACGCCCTGCTCCTGAACGTGGCTTACCCTCTGTGCGATGCGTGCCTGCTCCTCCTGCTTCAACCGAAGCTGGTGGAATTGCAGTGCCGTGAGGAACGGCAATGCACGGGGGACGGGGGCAGAAAGCAGGGGGGAAAACACATGAAGGGCGGATGGAAGGAGAAAGTGAGAGCATGGAGAGAGCAGTGAAAAACACCAGTGGGAGAGAGGAATGAGAGAGATTGGTGAGAAAGCGCAGTGAGAGGAAGCAGTGAGGGAGGGAACTACGAAAGTGCTCACCGCTGCTTTGTTGCTCCGAGTTATGTTTTCAAGAGCTGCGATAGCCGGGACGAGACTGCAAAAATATTATTATCACCACAAACAAAGAAAAGAAGGGAAAGGACTCAACAATAAGGAGGATAACAAACACCAAGCTGTATACAGCACTGAGGTGGATATAACACGCAATAAGGTGTACATACAGTAAACAAAACTAACGACTGACGATGTATTGTGCACTATGTAGTGTATCTTTCATTGTGCACTATGTAGTGTATCTTTCATTGTGAACTTTAAAAAGTAAGGTGGATATGAAAGCATGTTAACGAGGCCAAGGGGGATTGAAACTGGCCAATAAGCATCGCCATGAGGTGCCATGAGGTCTCCTGGGGTGTAATCAGGTGGAATGTGCTTCTGTACCCTTTAAAAGCCTTTTGTGCCTCACCAAGTTTCCATTAAGCGGCACAAAGCTGCTTGATAGGTGGCGTGGTGGTGTATCAACTCCAGAGGGTTAGGCTCGCCGTGTCTGGAGTAGAGAGAGGGGAGGGAAGAGGGTGGGAAGAGGGGAGGGGAGAGGGTGGGAAGAGGGGAAGGGAGAGGGTGGGAAGAGGGGAGGGGAGAGGGGACAGGAGAGGGGATGGAAACGAGAGGATGATAGGTAAGCCTGGTAGGCGGCGGTGGCGGTGAATCAGCTCCAATGGGTTGGGCTCGCCGTGTCTGGGGCAGAGAGGGAAAGGAGGCAGAGGAGGAAAGAGGTGGAGGGAACGGAGGGTGGAGGAAAGGACAATATGACAGTCAAATGTGGTAGGTGGTGTGGTGGTGACTCAAAAGAGGGGCCATGGCGTGTGAGCGGGGCAGGGACGGGGAGGCTCGGGCCGAGGGGGGTGCAGGAGTGCAGGGGCAGGGGGCACACAGACAGGAGTGCAGGGGCAGGGGCACACAGACAGGAGCGCAGAGGGAAACAGAGCAATGTGTACGTGCCTGCCTGTATGCTCTACCGCCTTCTCATACGCCTCCTTCTCCTCCATTAACAGCATCCACTGCAGCTGGGTGAGCTTGAGGCAGAGAGGAGAAATCGCGGGCTGAGGGCACCACATGAATGTAGAGGGGCACATTGCAGTGTGCACATACCTGTGCGCTTCTTCTACCGCCTTCTCATACGCCTCCTTCTCCTCCATTAGCAGCATCCGCTGCAGCTGGGTCAGTGGTGCCAGATCACCGTGTGTGTGAGCGGCAGGGATGGGAAGGGAGCACTCATGGGAACGGGAATTACCATAACCACCCACCTGCCTGCATGCTCTACCGCCTTCTCATACGCCTCCTTCTCCTCCACCAACAGCATGCGCTGCAGCCCAGTCAGGGGCGCCACGGCATGTGCACGGGGCAGGGAGGGGAAGGCTCGGGCTGAAGAAACCACCTTTATTGGCACCTCCCATGCTGTGAAGTCGGATGATGGGCTGCGAGGGATGAAGAGTGTATGGCAGAGGACATGAGATGGGAGAATGCGGAGAGATAGCAAGGGAATGAAGGGGTTTAAGAAGGGGACGGGGCAAAACAAAAAGGGACAACATATAACGAAGGGGCCAAAAAAACCGACGGGGATCACACTTGCAATTGCAAACACGCATGCTGTCGACAACACGAAGGGTACCAGCACCACTTGCACACATCCTCCACGTTAGACAGCATGACTTTGCACTCATCCACGTCAGCCAGCACCACTTACACGTCATCATCCACAGCAGCCAGCACCACTGCCAGCTCCTGAGGCTCGAGGTCTGAGACAGAGGGGTGTGACGAGTGCTCTCTCTGCAAGGCGCGACACGGAAGATATGGGGGACAGGAGGAACAGGGAGGAAACAGGTATATGTAGACTGGCCAGCTCTTGAGGCTCGAGGTCTGAAACAGAGGGGTGCGACGAGTGCTCTCTCTGCACGAAGGGCAAGGAGTCAGGAGGGGATGAGAAAATAGAGTTGATTTCTAAGGCGCATAAAAAATCAGCACCATCCCTCTGGAAGAAGGGCGAGGTCGATATTGGAGGAGGCAGGAAGGAACAGGAGAGAATCGGGTGGGAAAGGGAGAGAGACGGCGAGCAACGGATGGAGGTGGGGCATTGTCCCCCAAAAAGGGCAAGGGCATTGTCCCCCAAAAAGGGCAAGGGCATTGTCCCCCTAAAAGGGGCTGCCAAAGAGCTCCTGCCTGCTACAGACAGAAGGGTCGCCTCACGTAGGGGCTGCCTCACTTGCACTTCCCCCTGTTCTCCTTGTCAGTCTCCCACCTTCAACCATACACCCCCCCTGCTTCTGAGACGTCTCAAAAGTCTTCCCCCTGTTCTCCTTGTCAGTCTCCCACCTTCAACCATACACCCCCCCTGCTTCGCCCCACCTTGGTGCCCAGCTGCGCCCACTGCCCCCGTGCCGGGGTGTGCTGTGACCGCTGCTCCCTCTGCTCCTTGTCGCGTGCTGACACGGACTGAAACGCCACTGCCTGTAGCTGACCCGCCTGTGAGGGGGAAAGCGGGAGCAAGGGGAGAATTGTCTTCCCATGCTCACACAGCTCCTTGTCAACAACGCACCTTTCAGGCACCTAAAAGACCCTGAAAACAGAATAGAATCTCTGAGCATGGTGATCTGAGAGGGAGGAGGCATTCACCTGGGCATGCGAGGAGGCGCGGTTGAAGGCAGAAAATATGAGCCCCACGAAGCCCTCGTCCAGCATCTGGTACATGCCCTGTGTGCGCACGTCTGGAGGAAGATGGAGCAAGGTGGGGGGAGGGAGAAGAGAAGGCACAAGGGGCGTTTGAGTTCCACAAATCCCTCGTCTAGCATGTGGTACATGCCCTGTGTGCGCACGTCTGATGTGAGGGAGGGCATCAAGGTGGGGGGAGGGATTGGGGCACATGGGGTGTTTTGAGTTGGCAAGAAACACACACCGGACTAATATGAGTCCCACCCACGAACCCCTCGTCCAGCATGTGGTACATGCCCTGTGTGCGCACGTCTGATGTGAGGGAGGCAGCGAAGGGAGGGAGCGAAGGGAGGGGTGAGGAGAAAGAGACATTGGGGGGCACATAGAGGTGTTTTGAGAGGCCGACGAACCCCTCGTCTAGCATCTGGAACATGCCCTGTGTGCGCACGTCTGGTGAGGAGAGAAGCAAGGTAAGGGGACATGGAGGTGAGAGGAAACAAATGTAAGAGTATATAACTCCCATGAACCCCTCGTCTAGCATCTGGGACATGCCCTGTGTGCACACGTCTGGTGCGCTCCCGAGAGAGGCGAGGGAGGAACAGGGAGCACACCGGGTGTTTTGAGCGCATCAAGAGAATATGAGTCCCACGAAGCCCGAGTGCAGCATCTTGGTGCATGCCCTGTGTGCGCAGCGCACGTCTGATGGACAACATAGAGAGCAAAGGGAAGAGGCCTATGGGGTGTTTTTTTAGTCGACCAGAACAAGTGAATGTGCGTCCCGCGAAACCCTCATATAGAATTTGATACGTGCTCTGTGGGCACACGTGCTCTGTGGGTACACGTGCTCTGTGGGCACACGTGCTCTGTGGGCTGGGCACACGTGCTCTGTGGGCACACGTGCACTGTGGGCACACGTGCAGACGTGTGCACACAGAGCAGTGCAAGCCCTCGTCCCGCAAGCTCTGTGTGCACACGTGCTTTGCACATTGCAGCAAGAAGTGGGGGCGAAAGGGAGGGGGCTAGGGAGGGAAGGAAGGCAGCACATGAGGAGGCAGGAAGAGGAGAAACAAAGAAAGGCGGTGGTGCTTTATAGTTCAGAAAACAGATGAAACGTGAGCGATGCAGTGCAAATACAACACACTCTTTATCCTATGTGTGCAGATCCTGTTGACAGGCATGCTGACATAATCAATGTGTGCTGAGCCAAGCCACATACCGACATGGGACGGGTGAACAGTGATGTGTGGGTGCGAGTGGTACCACCCAATGACACGTGTCCTCATGCCAGTGGCCACTGACATTCTGCAATTTTCAGCATCAAAAGGAATGGAATGAATTGGAATGACATTCAGAGACAATCAGCTTATGGCATGGAATGGCATGACGTGACATGCATAGACATGGCTGGCCGTGGTCAACGTGGTCAACATGGTCAACGTGGGCAGCATGCATGATGGCATGAAGCAGGGGCTGGGATAAGGAAGCAAGTAAGTAAACACAGAGGATGCATGAAAGCATGCATGCATGAACAACAGGTGAGCCTCGTTACTAGCCTTATGGAAATCCACTAGCAAGCTTGCAGGTAATTCTCATGCATAGCGAAAACAAAAGAAATCAAAAATACAAGAAACACGGTGCCAAGCGTACCTCTCAGCCTCGGCAGACGCTGCTGCCAGCTGCTCCGGAGTCGTCTCGACTCGATCTTTTCTCCTGTCTGCCCGAACCTGCGGGGCAGCACCCCAAATCTTTGCAGAGACCACAGGGGTTCGTCCACTGTGGTCGTACTGTAGTTGAAATAGTGGAGGTGGGAGGGGTGGGGGGGGAGGAAGGAAAAAAGTGAGGGAGAGAGTACATATGAGGGTAGTGTGAGGAAGAGAGGATGATGTAATCTTCAGGCAGTATGAAAAGAGACGGTGAATGGGAGGCATCTGGCAAGGGGTGAAGAGAGATGGTGAGGTGGAAATTCCCTACGAGTGTTTGAGAAAGACGAACAACGGTGAAGAGGGATTGAGGTCCAAAGATGCTAATCAGAACTTTACAGAGGCACAGATGTCTCCAAAACAAACGTTATCAATAAGAGGCATCAATGGAAGGAGACTTTATAAGGAGGAGTCCTCTACGTACATGGAGATGACTTTTGAGTCAACTAATGAGTCAGCAACGTACATGGATATCCCCGAGCAACAGACTTTTGAGTCGACATAAAAGAGGAGCTTAAAAGAGAAGGCTACGTACATAGATATCCCCGAGCAGCAGACTTTTGAGTCGACATAAAAGAGGAGCTTAAAAGAGGAGGCTACGTACATGGATATCCCCGAGCAGCAGACCCATGATTTCCTCCGCTTCCGTTGAGAGCGCGTGCGTGGCACACGTCAGCCACACTTCTGACGAAACCACCACCTCCGTCAGCGACATCGCGGCGAACGTAACCAGCTGTCGCAGAACACTTGACCGCGGGTCCTGAGCGTGCGATTACACGTGCGAACGCACACCGAACGGATGTTGATCGCCGTGCGACACTACTCGTACGATGCATACATGCTAGTACGTCGCTGAGCTATGTTGCTGAACACTATTGCCCGAGAACGTTCACGTTCTCACATGTATCATGCTAGCTAAATGGCAACACCAAGCACATCGACTGTCCCAGGGATTTGTGGAGATTCGAGAGCACACATAGAATTTGAAAACCGTAACTTGTTCATTATTTATTCCTAAGAGTTAGCGAACGCATATTAATCCCTGTGAATTTCTCGACGACCTAAAGCGAGTAAAGCTGTTACACCTCGATGAACTGGTTTTCGCTTTTCGCATGTCGTCTACCAAACTCTGTTGGCTGACTTTTCAGCCAAACCACCCAGGGTTTGGTCTTGTTTCTAATAGCGGAAGCTACTCTGTTAACGAGTCCTTTCGAACCGCCGGGGCTTTCTGATTAGTCATGCATCGCTACAATCACTATCAGTGTCACGCATCACGCTTGCGCAAGCACCGTTAAATGTAACCCGTAAACAGAGCTGTCGCTTGCAGGGCGTTTGCCCTGCTGGACCTTGAATTCCAGGGCTGGGTTGCCCTTGAAACTGAAATTGATGGGTTGGAAATATTCTGGCCCTGATTCTTTACAGGGTTGATTTCGGGCTCAGGCTCGGTGTGTAGGGGGCAGATTTTAGGCGAGCCCTGGAACAAAATCTCTCGAGACCCCCCTTCCACCCCCCTCCCCCCCCCCCCAACACTCCTCCCTCTCCTTCCCCTTCGTTTCTAACCTGATTGCATCCAACAAGGCAATTTCGAGTTGCTTGGTTGGGCCACAAATTCAACTCAGCCTAGAACTTGTGCTTAAACCAATCACAGCTCGCTCTCTGTGGAGTGGGTGACGGTTAAGGTTTGGTAGAAGTGCACAAGAACTACCCTGAAGGTTGGGTAGTAAAGATGTGCAGACGATCATCGGTTCTGCAAAGGCTAGGAAGCCTGCAAAGCGTGCGTAGTGATATGACGCTAACTATTTCTCTTCTTGTCGTGTTTGCTTGCTTGTCGTTGATCTCAAACGTAGTTGTGAGCTTGGTAGTTGAAATGAGGCTCCCGATTTTTTCGCGCCAACCCTGATTCAAGGGAGGAAAAATTTCTAGCCCTGAAGCCTGAAGGGCCGAGTTCGCCCCAGCCCTGCTAAATACAGGGTCATACATGCCGGGCCCCCTGATTTGTCCAGGGGGCCCAAAACGAAACAACAGGCCTGCCCGTAAATAAACTTCGTAGCCGCTCACTGGATCCCCCCTTTGCCCCCTCTAGTCCTGATCGCTGCGGGGCTATCAGCCCCTCTGCGCTCCGTATTAGCCAATGGTAGGGCTGAGCCTTTCGCGCTTCGATTTCACCAGCCATCAAACCGAGCCGCGCAAAGCTGACAGCCCCTCCCCGGAAGTTCCGAGTCGGAACAGCCCCTACCAAATTGGCCCTTCACTGGTTTGCCTCGCCCTGCCTTGCCGTTCTCTAGCAAAAATTCACATAAATCTGCGTTCTTGAAAATTTAGCAGCTATCAGTTGTGCCTGCGATTCCCTCACCGTTCAATCACCTGAACTACAACCGTACTAACGGCCTCACCGACAAGAGATTTCCTACCTCTCCCTTCAATCCTGCGAGTACTAGTCCCTACTGTACTCTTATAAGCTTCTTCAGTTCCTGAAGATGGAGATTGCTTGGATGAAAAAGGCTGCGATATGGACATTCGCTGGACTGGGCCTCGCGCTGGCAGTCATCTCCTGCTGCGAGATGGCCAACAACTATTTCGTTCTTACCCACCCTGAAGCCTGCATCGCTTCTTCCAACGGAACCCACTGCGCGGCAGAATTTCGCGTGGCGCGGCGATCCCTAGGCGTCGTGCCGCAGACGCCGGAGCAAGTGACCTCAGCCATGATCGCAGCGGTGTGAGCGCAAGTGGCGGCGCTAATCGAGGCGGCCGACGAGACTAAGACAAACAACGTACGGGAAGACCATTTCACAAATGTCATGGCGAGGACTTGCGCGCGCCAAGCCACCATCGCGCTGCGCTACCTGGAGCAGGCGGGAGATGCGGTGGAGGCGGGCACGAATCAGCTCGACGTGCCGTACTGGCTGGCGGCCGCCGACACGCAGATCGACAACTGCGTCGACGGCTTCCAGACTTTCTCGCCCGCTGCGCAAGGCTTCCCCGCTTACGTACATCTCGAGGTTCGTTCACAAACCCTTCAATTAGAAGCATTCGTCTGCATTACTCGCATGTGCTGTTTTCCCCAACTAGGCTTTCGCTCAACTATGAATTCTTTAACCATGAAAAAATTCTCAATAGTAGCACTCGTTTATTTTCCTTTTTCTGAATCCCGTCCCCACTTCTCATCAGTATACGGCTAAGAAGGCGGGAAGCACGCTTGACGCCCTCTTATCCATCACCAACGCCGCCGCCAAAGCCGCTGCATCCGTCGCATCAACGGAGGAGGATGTGGCGCCCGTGCGTGGACGCCGCATGACCGTCCGATCCAGCAGCTCGGGGAGCGGCGCGATGGATTGGCTTGAGGCGGGCTTGTACGAGCAACTGCAGGAGCTCCAGACGAGGCTGAACGCCGAATTTGCCGCTGCCGGCGGGGAGGATTCGGAGAGCGGTTCTATCTCGAGGAGGCAGTTGCGGCGCCACCGCCACGACGACGACGACGATGATGATGACGACGAGGATAAGAAGGATAAGAGCAGTAGCAAGAGCAGCAAGAGTAGCAAGAAGAGCAGCAAGAAGAGCAGCAAGAGCAGCAAGAAGAAGGCATCACCGAACCAGGGTCCGATGGTCGTCAGCCCGTCACTTGCGGCCAGCGCGACCGTCGGATCCGGATACAAGTCGATTCAGGACGCAGTTGACGCCGATCCCGGCGGCACGCGCTTCGTGATTTACATTCCCGCGGGAACGTACAAGGAGCAGGTTGTCATCTCGACGACGGACATCGTTCTGATTGGTGCGGGCGCGGGTAAGACGATCATCACGGGCGACGCGAGCTACGGCAGCGGATCCGGGACGTTCGAGTCGGCTACGGTTGAGGTGGATAGCGACAGGTAATGCCGCCGCCCTTTCCCCGTTCTGTCCTTACCTCCCTTTTCTGCCCAATTCTCTCCCTCCCCCCCTTTATGTAATTTCGTTTCTTCTCTCACGCACAGCTTCCCTCTCTTCCCTCTCTGCCCTTGCCCCATAATGTACGCACCCACCTGGTAACCACATAACAGGTTCGTCGCCTTCGGGATCAAGTTCGTCAACACGGCAGGCCCCGAGAATCACCAAGCAGTTGCGATTCGCGCCACCGGCGACCAAACAGCTCTTTTCAACTGCGCGTTCGACGGATCGCAAGATACATTGTATGTGGACGCGGGCCGCCAATACTACAAAAACTGCTACATTGGCGGCTCGCAGGACTTCATTTTCGGCGACGCGGCCGTGGTTATCGATGCGCCCAAGATTCAGCTTCACCCAAGCCCCTCTTTCGGGACCCTAACTGCGTCGGGACGGGCCAAGGACACCCCGACGGGGATCGTGATTTGCGACGCTGTTGTCTCGGCGGATCGCGGCACGAAGAAGGTGTATCTGGGCCGTCCGTGGAAGAAATGCGCCTTCACGGTTTTCATCAACACCTTTCTCCCCGCGGTGATCGAGAGGGACGGGTGGCTGTCGTGGAACGAGGGCAGCTGCATGTTTCTGGCGGAGGCGGGCAGCAAGGGGCCGGGCGCCGCGGCTTCCCGCGCGTACTGGGTGGACCCTGGGATCATCACGAGCGTCAGCGGATACGACGCCAACACCTTCACGCAAGTCAACTCCTGGCTCCGCCTGTCGCGCTAGGGCTTTCTCTTAGCACACCTAAATGCCAGCGCCAGTAGGGTTAGAATTCACGAGCAGCAGGAGATTCTGTAGCAGTCATGGGCGCACCCCGTGTGCCATGGCTGCTGGAGCGCCAAACCCGCCTAGGAATTCTTAGTTTCTTTTTAGATGTAGTTGCTAGAAGGCGATAAATTTGTGCTGTTCTGTGGAAGGTTCTTAGCAGGAGTTGGTTCCTTCCTGTGCATCTGTAAATTTGATTTGTACCAATTTATGTGGACTATTAATATCGCTCCCACAATCACCGTTGCTCCCAAAGCCGCTTAGCAGTTCAACGTATCTTAGAAGTTCTGTAAGCTTCGGAAGGCTTTTAGAGTAGGCGACTGCTGTAGAAGTTCTTGCTTAATGCTCTGTTTTGATCTCATTGGTACCAACAAAGTGCTTACTGGCGTGCTTTCAGTGCAGTAATTTTCTGCCTCTGGAACTAATTATAATGGGGAACAACAAGCAAACAGATTTAAAGACTCTCAAGCATCAGCAGCATCAACAAGCTATAAAACCATTTGGCAGAAAACGAGCATAACAGCTGCATCCATCGTTTCACCCTTCTCTCCACCCACCCCTCTAGAAAGTGGCTTCTGCCTGTACTTTCCCCTTTTACTAATCCACCTATGCATCGTGTGCCCTTACCTCATCCCCCTGCGCTTCCTATGCTCCTCTTCCGGGAATCATCTTTGCCGGCCTTTCTTCATGGGTAACCTTGGAATCACCGCTGTCCTCCTCACCCTCGGAATCAGTATGCTCCTTTCTTCCCGAACCACCAGGAACCACCTTTGCTGGCCCTCCATGGGTGACACTTTATCACCTTCTCCTCATCACGCTCAGATTTACTCCCCTCTTCGAACACCATATCAGCTCCTTTCCTCTCTAGCACTGTACCCTTACCTTATCCGCTCTTTCTATGCTCCGCCGGTAACCGTCTTCGCCAGCCCTCCTCCATGGGTGACCTTGGGATCACCCTTTTCCTCATCGCCCTCGGATTCATTTCCCTCTGAGAACACCATACGGCCAGACGGAGTGAACTCGGCAACCTCCCTCCCAGAGGGTATACGCGTTATAGTACGATCCGTGAACGCGAATCCCAGCGCGGGGACCCAGCGGATCCGCACGTCGTCCCCGTCCCCCGCGTCCCCTTCACCTCCCTTCGGAGCAGCTGCATCTCCCCCTCCCCCTGCCGCGCCCGCTGCGCCCTTTCCCGTGGGCCTCCCCTTCCCTGTAGGGACCACTTTCCGCTTCGTCCGCAGCTGGCGCCACTTCAGAATCACAACGATCAGCAGCACCAGGAACAGAGCGGCCAGCGACCCCACCACTCCTGCGATCAGATAGCCGGAGATGGGAGGTTTCGGGGTCGGTTCAGGGTTAGTTTCAGGGGCGGGGATGGGTAAAGGAGCAGGAGGTGGGATCGGACCCGGAAGCGGAGGAGACTTGGGGCTCGGCGAAGGCGACTTGGGAGGGGGCGACTCGGGAGGGGGCGACTTGGGGGGAGGCGACTTGGGGGGAGGCGACTCGGGAGGAGGCGACTCGGGAGGGGGCGACTTGGGGGGAGGCGACTTGGGAGGAGGCGACTTGGGAGGGGGCGACTTGGGAGGAGGCGACTTGGGAGGAGGCGACTTGGGAGGAGGCGACTTGGGGGGAGGCGACTTGGGAGGAGGCGACTTGGGAGGAGGCGACTTGGGGGGAGGCGACTTGGAAGGAGGCGACTTGGGAGGAGGCGACTTGGGAGGAGGCGACTTGGGAGGAGGCGACTTGGGACCCGGCGGAGGCGAATCAGGCTTGGGACCCCCCGGAGGCGAAGGCGACTTGGGGCCCGAATCAGGCTCAAGCACAGCGGTGCCGCTATCTGCTGGCTTCTGGTGGTGCGTCCTCCCCGTGACCCTGCCTTGCGATTTCAAGACAGTGTCGTTTGCCATGATGTCGCTCGGCGCAATTCACGGGACGATATAGGAGCGGTTCAACCGAGGTTCGACTTAGTAGTTGTGAAAACGCGACTAGTGAGGGGGTGAGTTCCGCACTACGGATATTTCTCCGTACAGCGATATGATGTGGTAAGCTTTGAAAAATGATTGGATATAATGCCTTCGCCTGCTAACGCCTCCGGTGGCGCGACTCTCAATCCTACTCTTCACCGTCGGTCAGAATCGTGGTCTGTGCAGCCTGGAGATGCTTCCGTTCGCAGTACTGTACTTTTAAACCGGCAATGCGGCGAATGGAGTTGTCTGGACGGAACTACTGCGACAGGCGTTTTCAGAGACCTGAAGAAAAGTTTACGCAAGGAAAGGCACGGCGGTTGATGTGTTTACGACGAAGCTATTACGACAAGGCGATGCACGACGAGATTTCTGTTGCTAGTGGTTGTTCTGCGCTTCTTCCTTTATTCAGAATGCGATTAACGAGGGCCGAAACCACATCGATCACAACTTCAGCGTGCAAGCAAACACGGCCAGCTCAGACGTCCATCATCCTCCTAACATGACTGACCCAACCTCACGACCAGTAAGTTAAAGAAAACGGCCCGGTAGAAATTCGCGGTCATCCCAAGCGCCAAACTCAATCTCCGGGATTGCTAGTAAACGTAAGCTTCACGGGCAGGGCCTTGTGTGTCAGCTTTGAGGAGTCTTCGGTTGCACTTGTGTTCATCTAGGCTTTCTGCACCTTCTGGGCGGGGTTTCGAGCCTTGTGTGTGTCTCTGGGGAATTGGGAATTCCGGGAGTTGCATCGTTGGATTGGATTGAATGGCAGGGTAAGGCAACGGCGGGCAGGACGACGGGCGGAAACGGGATGCGGGAGTGGGCGCGCTGAATGTTGGCTATTGCTTCGCGGAAGGAGGAACGATGAACCGTGGTCCGCGTTCGGAAAATAGTCAATGAACGCGCGAGGATGACGCGGAGGGGACAGCAATTGTGGGGGGAGAGAGCCATGGAGGAGGCTGGGGGAGCCGCGGGGCGGAACTGGGGGGAAGGTGGAAATGGAAACGCGTTGAAGCAGACGAACCCCGATGAAGGTGAGGCCGTGAAGTGTGCGGCAATGTAATTATTGGTGGCTCAGCGCGGTCCGGTAGCTTGAGTGACGTAATGTTACGAGTGCAATTGAGTGAACGAACGAGAATTGCACTATCGAAGCAAGAATACAATGAGCTAGGGCATGAGCGAAGATTATATAGCGAAACTACAGTGGTAACGGTAATGGTCTGTGGTAGTCGCGCGACGAGCCTGGGACTGAGGTTGGGAAAGTGTCGAAGCGTAGGCCCGGAGCGCGGGTTACCAGCCGAGCCGTGAGGTCGGGATGCGATGTGCGAAAATGGCGGGATGATTGTCGATGCGATGATCGCGAGTGGTAACGGTGCTGACTGAGGTGTTACAGTGATGTACGCGTTGAGCAGGGATGCGAAGTAAGAAAAAGGGATTTTCCTTACACTACCCCCCCTCCTAAGGAGGTCCTCCTTACGAAAGCGTATGGACATCTTTGAAGTTTCGGCTGCGCAGATATTCGGTGAGGACAGGGTGGTTTTCAATTCTGTCCAGGGGAACCTACTTGTCCTCGGTAGGTGTACGGTCTTTCCAGCGGATCAGGAACTCGATCTTTCGGGCTCCTCGGGGGTCGCGAACTCTGTGACTCAGGATTTTGTCGGGGGTGATGATTGGTTCGGATGGTGGTCGTGCCATGCTGGATGGTCGATGTCGTGGGAGTTGGCCGGTGGATGGTACGTAAGGGCGAAGCAGGCTGACGTGGAACGAGGGGCTGACGTACCAGTCAGCAGGGAGGAGGAGGTGCGCGGTGACAGGTGTGATCATGTGGCTAATTCGAAATGGCCCACAGTATCGGGGGCTGAGTTTGGGAGTGATGGGCAGGCGAGGGTTTTGAGTGTCGAGTAAAACGAGGTCGTCGGGCTGATAAGTGACAGGTCTGCGGTGGCGGTCGGCGTTGCGTTTAGCGATGATGTTCGATTTTTTTATTGCTTCTGCTGCCCTGGTCCGTGCTGCTTGCAAAATCTCGGCGAATTGTTGTGCACGTGGAACGGGGTTGTCGGGATTTGGGGTCATGGGTACTGTGGGGTCTTGTCCGTAATTCAGGTAAAACGGTGACTGTTGGGTCGTGGCGGATGGCGCGTTGTTGTATGCGAATTCGATGAGTGGCAGCTGCTGCTCCCACGTGTTTGGGTCGTCGCACGTGGCCCTAATGAGCTGCTCCATGGTCTGGTTTGTCCGTTCTGTCTGTCCGTCGGTTTCGGGGTGATACGATGAACTGAATTGTAGTCGCGTGCCGAATTGCTGCCACATGTTCCGCCAGAAATTGCTGGTAAACTTCGTGTCTCTGTCGCTGATGATCGATGCTGGTATCCCGTGCAGTCGAACGACGGTGGTGATGAAGAGTCGGGCTGTTTCCTCGGCTGTGATTGTTTTCTTGCAGGCTGCGAAGTGTGCCATTTTCGTCAGTCGATCGACGACGACCAGGATCGCGTCATTCCCACTCGCCCCGGCCGGTAACTCCGTGACGAAGTCCATCGTCACTTGCTGCCAAGCACGCTCTGGAGGTGGGATTGGTTGTAATTGTCCCGCCGGCCGCTTCCTGGTTGACTTCATGAGCTGGCAAGTGGGACACGATGCCACGTGTCGTTGCACGTCGGTCAACATTTCAGGCCAATAATTGTACCGCTGCAGCTGCTGCCGTGTTTTCTCTACTCCGAAATGTCCCGAGGTAACTCCGTCGTGTGCCTTCTGTAACAGTAATTCCTGTAGTAGTGTGTACCCTGGTACCCAGATGCGGTCGGTTCCAGCTTTTACGTAATAGACTCCCTTGGCTGCTGCGAATTGCTGCGAGTTTCCTCCTGTGAAGAATGGGTCTGTTTGATATCCGTGGGTAAATAGTCCTGTCAGTAGCGGACTGGTCTGGGCGAGTAGTATCGCATGGATCTGGGCAGTGGGGCGGGTTAGTGCGTCGGCGATATTGGAGGCTCCTTTTTTATAGGTGACCGTATAATGGAAGTTCGACTCGAGGAAGTCGAGCCACCGAATCTGTCGTGGGTTGAGGTGGGGATGTGCACGGAGGTACTGTAGGGATCGATGGTCTGTCCGTACTGTCACGTCTGCGCCGGTCAAGTAGCAGCGCCACACTTTGAATGCATGCACGATCGCGAGCATTTCGCGGTCGTGTATCGGGTAATTTCGCTCAGGCGGATGCAGTTTGCGTGATTCGTAGGCGATGGGTTGGAGGCCGTTGCTGAAGTCCAGTAACAGTACGGCTCCGATGGCGATGTCGCTCGCGTCTGTAACAACCTCGAAGGGGCGATGTGGGTCAGCGATGCGTAGGACGGGTGGTGAACAGAGAACAGTTTTCAGGGCAGAGAAGGCAGCATGCTCTTTCTCCCCCCACGTAAAAACGACCCCCTTACGCAGTAAATCTGTGAGCGGGGCTATTAAGCGTGCCATGTCGGGGACGAACCGACGGACGTAATTAACGAACCCTAAAAAACTCTATGGTTCCACGATGCTCGTTGGGGGACGCCACGCGTTGATGGTATCCAGCTTTTTAGGGTCGATTTCAACTCCAGCCTCCGAAATAACATGTCCTAAAAATTCTAGCCTGTCCCGAAAAAACTCGCACTTGGAGCCCTTGGTGAGTAACCGATGTTCCGCTAAAATTTTAAAAACTGCTTCGAGATCGACTAAGTGCTGCTGCTGGTCCCGACTGTAAACGAGAATGTCGTCAAGGTAAACTATGACGCATTTATCTAAAAGTGGCCTAAACGCCTCGTTCATGGTCATCTGAAATGTGGCGGGCGCGTCGGTCAGCCCGAAAGGCATCACCGTGTACTCGAATGACCCGTACCTAGTCCTAAATGTTGTCTTGGCGCAATCCGATGGTTCGACGTGAATCTGATGGTAACCTCCTCGTAAGTCTATTTTCGAAAATACCCGTGCGGTTCGTAGCTGGTCGATCAGTTCGTCGGCGCGGGGGATGGGGTACCGCGATTTGACTGTTACCCTATTAAGCGCTCGGTAGTCGATGCACATGCGAAACCCTCCGTCTTTTTTCGGTGTGAACAGTATCGGTGCGGCGAACGGTGACGAGCTCGGTCGGATAAACTGCTTCTCTAACAGATAATCTAACTGCTTCCTTAGTTCGTCGAGCTCGGGCTGTGTCAGTCTGAACTGGCGCTGTACAGTTGGCTGTGCCCCCGGTTCTAACTCGATCCTATGATCATGCGCCCGCTGAGGTGGCAGCCCTTGTGGTAAGTCATCCGGAAAGATACCCGGGAATCGTTTCAGTAGTGCCTGCAGTTCGGGTGGTACAGCTGCCAACAGTTTCTGAAAATCGCTCGGCTACTCCTCTTCTCCCACTTATGCTATATCCACTGCGTACACGTCAGCTCCAGCAGCGACAGCCCGTTTCATCGTGATGGCGTTGACCTGGACCGTCGAAGACTCGGGTGGCTGCCAGCGAGGTAGGATGACCCAGTTACCACTACTTCGCACTGTGCACCTACCCGTGGTCCAGTCAATTCGCGGGTTATACCGTCGCAGCCAATCACGTCCCAGTAAAATGTCGTGCCCATCCAGTGTCGTTGCGAGCATTTCCTGTGTAAACCCGAAGTTCCCTCCGCAACGAACTTTTACTTGCTCCACCTTTTCCCGTATGGCTAGTGGCGTTCCGTCGACTAAGCGTGCATCTATCTCAGGTAAGCATCGGTTAAGTGTTAACTGTAATTTCTGTGCGGTTGCAGTATTAACTAAGCTGTGACTTGCTCCTCCGTCAATAAAAATCTTCACTGCTGCTCCATGTATTTTCCCGTAGATCAGTACCGGGCAATCCGTCGCTGTACCCTCCTTATTCATCCGAGCCCGATCGATGGCGTGAATCGGTACTGTGACTCGGTGAGGGTCGGTGTGGTTGGGCGAGCAGGCAGTCTCGTCAGTAGTTGGCCCAAATTCTACTGACTGCTGGCGTTTCCCTGCCTCTGAGACTTCCTCCCCTGCTCTGCTCCTCGGCGCCTCAGCTCCTCTGGGCATTCGCTCTTGCGATGGCCCAGCCTGTTGCAAGCAAAGCAGCGCCCCTTCAACGGTGCGGCAGCTGCATTCGTTGCAACGGCGTGTACAGTGGCGTGCTCGGTCGGTCCCCGAGGGCGATGTCCGTAATAGGACCCCGGTCTCGGTTGGCGTAGAATGTCGATCTTCTCAGCGAGCGCGAGAATCTCGTTGAAATTAGAGAGTCCGCGCAGCATCATCTCGTGCGAAATATCCGGCTTCAGCCCTCCGACGTAACGGTCCACCCGCTCCGCTTCGTGCATGTAACCGACCTGCTCGCAAAGTGCGAGAAAACCGCTTGTATAATCTGGAACTGACCCGAGCTGGCGCCAAGTGCGCAATCTCTGACGCGCCGAAATTGAAGCCGCGATCGGCTCAAAGCGCGCCCGAAGCCCTGCGCACCACGCATCCCACGTGCTGTATTGGGCGGTCTCACAGAACGAACTCCAGGTGACAGCTGGACCCGTGGGCCCTTCCTCGTGCGACGGTGGCTCGTAGGCGCGTGGCGACGTCACGATGACTCGCCACCAGTCCATGGCGGGGCCCCTTAGCAGTGAAACTGCATACCGGATCTTTGCGGCGTCCGACTCGACGTAATTTGCGTCGAAGAAGACGTTCATCGTGAAGACATACGATTGAACCGTCGGACCGCCGCGTTGGCTTGGGTCGAAGCAGGGCGGGCGTTGCGGCTTGAGCGGCATTGGTGCCATGATGGCTTGTTCACCACTTGTCGCCGCAAATTCCACGTGCCGACGGGCTTCTCGGGGCTCCCGCGGTCTTGGTGCGATCATGTTTCCTCCCATGCCAGGCATCGGCTGGGCGGCGCCATTATTGGCTGCGCCTGAGCGCTGTCCCATGCTGTTGTGTTGTGTTGGTGTGCCGGACGAGATGACGATCGGCTCATCCGAATGTGCAGATACATTTGTTGGTATGTGTGATGTCGCCGGAACGTTCACCGTGGACTGTTGACGGGCGGAGTCACGTTCCGCCGTGAGCGTCGCGATTTCGATCGCTGAATCTTCCAGTTGACGCACGAGATTATCAAGTTGTTCCTGCGTTAATGTGGCGAGCGTGAAATCGGCCATGGCGGGGGTGTCGGGCAAGCTCAGCGAGAGCCTCGATCGTGGCCGTGCGTGCTTGCGAGAGAGCACTACGAGCGGCGGTGCTGTATCGCTTAGATACGTCTAACCCCCCCAAAAATTTGAGATAGTGGGGAAGCGAAGGTGTGGATGCGGTCCGAGATGAGATCGTAGGCTCTGAATACCAAGTGTTACGAGTGCAATTGAGTGAACGAGCGAGAATTGCACTATCGAAGCAAGAATACAATGAGCGAGGGCATGAGCGAAGATTATATAGCGAAACTACAGTGGTAACGGTAATGGTCTGTGGTAGTTGCGCGACGAGCCTGGGACTGAGGTTGGGAAAGTGTCGAAGCGTAGGCCCGGAGCGCGAGTTACCAGCCGAGCCGTGAGGTCGGGATGCGATGTGCGAAAATGGCGGGATGATTGTCGATGCGATGATCGCGAGTGGTAACGGTGCTGACTGAGGTGCTACAATGATGTACGCGTCGAGCAGGGATGCGAAGTAAGGAAAAGGGATTTTCCTTACACGTAACAAGAAGAAATACGTTTATTTCCTTTTGTTGGCTTACACATCAAATAGATTATTAAAGAACCAGCAATTCTCATTTTTTTCCACAATACAATTCTAAAAAAATACATAAAAATCTGATGTCATGATCATCTGAGGCTAAAAAATTACACATTAATATGATGCTCTAAAATATTATAAGATATTTGATCAAGTTTCAAGCTACAGAAAAGTACAATTAGATACAATATATATTATTAGTATATACTAAACTATATCTCATAATATTTGGGTTTCTCCTAGGATTTAACTATTTAAAATCCGTCTTTATCGTTATCATCAAAGGGATATCTTTAGGTTTGCATAGCTCTCTTTTGCATATTAAGATAATTCATTTGTTTGTCATTTTCTCCACTCAATGGAGGGGATGATTTCGCCCGAGGGTGGTGTAAAGCAATAACCGTCGAAATGATGTTCTAGTTCCCCATTGGAAAGATTTGTGAAGATACGTTTCGTCGTCGTGCACACACCCAACCCCTGAAGAGCTCCTCCTGTCCTGTCAAGCACCAGCCCAAAAGGCCCACCCGAGAAAAGGAAGACCATGCGCGGAAGTCCGGGTTGTGTGCGAGTTGTACGTGGACATTCTCGGGTTGATTATGACATATGGTCCCATCTCATGCTGACAAATGAAAGCTGTCAAATTTCTGCTGGGAGTAGACGAAATTTCGAAGGGCAAAATACTAAAGAGAAGAGTTTTCCGCTTCCAAGAGTGGCGGAAATGTTTTGAAGTTTCTTTATGTTTGTTTTGCGCTCTATAGGGTATCTTACATCGCCAAAACAAATGGCGGAAAAATCTGAGGTGTGGCGTGTCGGCTGGTATATAGACAAGTGAATCTCTCAGGTCGTGTCCGTAGGGATGACATGTAAAAGTGGGCAGTGTCAACTTAGCATTTTGACGCTCTGCCAACATTGTTGGCAGTGGCTGAGTGTCAAGAAATTGCAGGTTGCCAGCCAAAACAAATCCTCGGACACTTTTGAAATTGGCACAGACAAACCTACAAACGAGAGAAGATTGTCGCAGGTACCTATCTCACGACCAGATGCTGCCCAATCAGCACACAATATGTCTTTTGAATTGTTCGTTGCCTAGCAGATCTCGCCATGACAAATTCTCAAACCAATGAAATTGCGTCGCTGATGTTCGTACCTGCGCTTCGACTTGACCCTACCGCTACAAAGCTTGACACTCTAATTTGAATGCGCTTTGGGTTGACACGCTTTTACTTGACATGTCGACCCTACGGACACGAGCTCAACTCCGGTGGTTCCATCCCCCACAAGTTATTTTCAACCAGTGCTTACCCAAAATAGATTCGATTTCGCATTCATCGGTGTTATTTTGGTAGTTGTTGCGATGGACACGGCGTACCCAAATTGTGAAGCTTGTCAGTTGTTCTGGGTATGAACTGTACCGCCATGCGACTTTGTAATCTAGATCCCCACTTCACGAGGATGGATCTGTGCACTTTGCATGCGCATTCACCAACAGTAGACTTTCGAGGTGTACAGTTCACGGTATTTCACGTGGTTTCCTGGAATCTGTAGGGATGGAAAGTCTGAGCTGTGTGGAGGACGTTGGTTTGTGCGAACACCCCTTGGTCCACTATCTCGTTTTGTCTGGTTTCAGGGACTACTGTGCAGGTTGGTTTCAAAACACACCACCAGCTCTGCTCTGCTCTGCACCTCAATGCCCGCTTGGAGTCTTCCGAGGATCCTCTTCCGCGTCCAGGTGAGCTGGCGACTGTCCAGCCACGGCTGCAAGGGGATCACTTGCCTGAAAAACATCACCTTTCATCTGTTCCCTCTTGTCCGTCTTGTCCCGTCCCGTTCAGGCCTGTCGATGTTCCTGGGGCCCTTACTTGGAGCCCCCAGCTCCTCCCTATCTGACCCTGTATTGGCCGTAGCTGAGTGTTTTGGCGCCCTTAACGGTCACGGGCGCAGGCCAAAGTGGTAACTTGAAATCCGGGCTTGCACTTACACTCTCTTAGCTAAGGGAAAGTTCGCCTGCTCCAAAGCTGACTAAGAGAGATCACAAACACGGGATTGGCTAGAAAACGCTAAGGGAAAAAATCCCCTTGGCGCGCTCTCGTGCAACCAAGGAGAAAGGGGAGGGGGGTGGAGTGGGGGGGTCAGGCAGAATTTCTTGGGGGGGGGGGTTCCCTAGAACCGGAAATCAAAACTTTGTGGGTGGGGAAGGCCTGTTTGGAGCACTTAACGCATCCAGGGAAGGGTCGAACGAAGCACTTAGTGGCACGGGTGCAGGGTGACCCTAACACTTTATGCAGTCGAGCTGGAGCGAAAGTAGCCCGGAATTTCAGGGCATTAAGGGCATATGCCCGTCAATCGACAGGCCTGGTCCTGTTCCCCTTCAAGTCCTCCTGTCTTCTGAAGGCATTTTAAGGTTCAGTCTGGTGTGCAATGGTCCAATACGGTGAATTTTTTCAAACCGTTCCCAAACGTAAGTTGACCTACTGAACCGCGTCTCATTTTGCAGTCACATCACAGACCAACTTTTCCCAATGGCATTCGATACCTCTAGTTGTGTCAGACGAGCTCCATGATTCAAATAATGGTTCTCCTGGCTCTACCTCCGCCTTCACCTCCGCATCTACCTCTGCCTTCACCCGGAGCCACTCGCTTGTCTTACGTAGCAGCGCAATTGTTCTGACGCTATTTCCGCTAAGAGGGAGGGTATGTTACTATCAGGATGAGAATGAGGTACCACTGCGATGCTGGTCACCTGAAGTGGTCAACTCCCATACTCTATGTCAGCTCTTCTACATGTAGTATCAAGCGTCAGACGAAGTAGCGGTTCGTGCGTCGTTTCCTCTCGCTTACGTCCCGTACGTATATGGACAAGTACGTTAAGATCAAACTCATAGGCGAGGGATCGCACGGGAAAGTGTATCTGGTTAAGGAGAAACCCGACGGCGAAGGATCCTCGAAGCATCAACAGGCCGTTCGCAGTCCGAGCGATAAAGTATGGGTGATGAAGGTCGTACCGTTGCCGTCGGATCCGAAAGAGCGAGAAGAATGCGTTCGAGAAGGATCGACCATGATGAAGCTCGGTCACCCCTGCATTGTCGGTTGCAAGGTACTTACCGTCTAAACTCGCCGTCTACCGAGAGCGTACTAGTTCTTCTTATCTCAGACCCGAGGCCGGTAAATTCAGCAGAATCTGAACGTCTGACCGACGTACGTCGTCATTTCTCCAGCTGCTGATAAGTTTCTCCTTTCTAATTTGGGTTTCTTCGTGTTACCCGGATGCTGCCTTTTCCGTCGCAGGAAGCGTTTATCGACCGCTCCAGCCGTGCCTTTTGCATTGGTGAGTACGGCACGCGTGAAAACGGTGCAATTTGGCACCACCGATTTACCGCGTCTCATCGAATCCGTTCACTTAGTGTGTTCCTCGTTCGTTCCCATGGCGACACTGTCGGAGAGCGTCGCAGAGGCGATTACGGAAGATCCCATCTCTCGTACTCTTTACAACTCGTGGTGTCAAGGGACCTTAGGGTTTGTATATATTGCGAGAATTCCGTTCCTTGCAGTTGAGGTGTCCAGGTTCGGCTGCTTTGCCTAATTTTTTTCGATTACATTCGCTAGTGAAGCCGTTGTGCTGGTCAGTTGAATGTGGCATTCTTTTAGAATAACTCGGGTTCCGCGTTAATTTTGTGACTACAACGAGCGGCACGCAGCAGCAGCACGGAGGAGCCTTCTCTCGCCATAGCAACACCTGTGCCTGTCTCACGCTTACTAGGACCAAACTCGTACCGTCATAATGATCCCTTACCGTCCCTGCCTTGGTGTTTGGTGCTTGGTTCATGCACAGTGATGGAGTATTGTCGCAAGGGTGAGCTGTGTCAGCACCTCAAGAAGCGCTCCAACATGGCAATGATGTGAGTGGTTGAATTCGGTTCTAGCAGGTCCGCGATGATGTTAGTGATGTGAGAGGCTGGTCCTTGCGTTTGAGGCGAATTCATTCGTCCAGTGTAGGCATCAGTTAACTCACGACGGTAGTTATGACGACGCGTCGTTTCGTCCTTTCGCACAGTTTCGCCATTTTTCGCTGCGTCGTCCTTCATTCCGTTGTTTCTTCGTCGTTCTGATTGCTCCCTTCCGCCAGGATTCCCGAAGACACGATTCTCAACTGGTTCGTGCAGCTCGTGCTCGCGTTAGAGTACCTTCACCATAAGAACATTCTCCACCGAGACGTCAAGGTACTAAATCCCGCTCGTCTCCATCTCCCCCGTTCTATCGATTTTCCGTCTGCCTTGGCCCCCTCACAGCCCCCGCTCGTCCCCTCTTCCTCGCCTCACTTCGTCCCTCCGCTCCCTCCCAACCCAATTCTCCTCGCTAGCTCAAACACGCGGCTCGGTTACGCCTCCTCCCCCCCACCCTTCTCTCTCCAACTCCCACCCCACTTCCCCTGCGCCCTCCGGTCAGGCGGAGAACGTGTTTCTTCGCAGCCGTCACGACACGCCGCTGGGTAACGCGGCGACGGTGCAGCTGGGCGATTTCGGCATTTCGCGAATGCTGGAGGCCCACGAGGCGGTCGCGCGAAGCTTCGTGGGCACGCCGCTGTACATGTCGCCCGAGCTGATCCGGAACGAACCGTACGACCATAAGTCAGGTGAGCCGTTCGATCACGAGTCAGATGAGCCGTACGAAATTGAGTCAGATGAGCCGCACGACCCGGGTGTAAAGGCCTGATTCAACCTACCTGTTGGCACGTGTACTGTGCCCGGAAGTGTAGCCTAATATCTCCCCCTTGCCCCCTGCCCCGCCCCTTTGCAGATATATGGGCGCTGGGTTGCATCCTGTACGAGATGATGTGCTTCACTAAGCCCTTCCCCGCTACAAGCATACGCGACCTTGTTCTGCGAGTGCTCAAGAGCAACTACCGCCCTCCTCCCCACATGTAAGCTGTGTTTTATCTCTCGTTAATGTTTTCAGACTTCTTTCCTGTTCCAGATTCTCATACCTCTCTTCTCTGTCCCCGCATCCTTCCCCCATCCCTCCCCCATCCATCCCCCTTCCGCTCCCCGGATCCCCCCGCCGCTCCACCGCAGATACTCCCCCGAGCTCTGTTTCCTGCTCACCAAGATGCTCTCGAAAGACGCATCGCGCCGCCCCACCGCGGCCGACATCCTCGCCTTCCCGCTGCTCCGCCCGCGCGCCGCCGCCTTCCTCGCGGCGTGCCAGCTGGCGGCGTCCGAAGCGGCGGAGACGCACGCGCAGCAGCAGCAGCTGGAGGAGCGCATGCAGCGCCAGCTGCAGCAGCCGCAGCAGAAGCAGCACCACCGGAACTATCAGCGCCGCGATAAAAACCAGGAGCAGCAGAAACAGCAGCAGCAGCAGCAGCAGGAAGGCTCATCCTCCTCCTCCCCATTCTCCTCTCCGTTTTCCTCCCCCCTGGCCTCCCCCCCGCCCTGCTCCTCCTCCGTCCCGACTTCCCCGCTGCACCAGCACCATTCCCCCAGCGCCGCGCGCGTCTTGGCCATTCACAGCGAGGTCGTGTTGCAGGCGCACCGCCTAGGGTTGCACGCTCCTCTCGAGCCCCTGCTCTCCCCTTCCGCGCGCGCGCGCGTAGCATCCGCGGAAGGCGCGCGCGCGGAGCGCCCGCGTGCGCCGGGTTCGCCCCGGCAGATGGCAGCAGCGGGGGCGGCGGAGATGCGCGGGGAGGCGGGGGCGGGCGGAGAGGGCTCGCTGTTCCGCGATTACGAGGCGAGCTTGAAGGTCCCCCCTCCTCAGGCAAGTCCTTTCAAATGTCCTGGTCCTCTCCGCTCCCTTCGTGTTTCTTTCCCCTCTTTCCCCTGTGTTGATCATCCTTCTCTTACCCCTCCTTCTCCACCCGCCCTACTCTCCCTCCAATTCTCCTCTTTCCCCCTCTCGCCCCCTTCAGAAGAGTTCCCAGAGCAATCGCTCACGAGCAACGTCAACCGACGGAGTCGTCACCCAAACCAACGCTTCAGCCTCGGGCTGCCCAACCAGCCCGTTCGCCTCGGCGGCGGCTCGGCGGCGATTCTCAGCCTCGGACACGGATAACCTGGTGCAGCGCGCCAATAGCCGCGGCCGGGGGAGCATCAGCGGGCGCATGGGGGACGGCGGGGGCGCGGGGGGGAGTGGCAGAAGCGGGGGCGGCGGAAGCAGGCGGGGGTCGCGGGAGCTGTCACTGGCGGAAGAGGATTTGCGCGCGCTAGAGGAGGGGATAGAGGAGGGGGGCGGGGACTTATCGGACGTGGTTCGCGGAGGGGCGACGGGGGAAACGAGTAGTGCGGGAACTGGCGGAAACTCGTCGCAGGAGAGTATACCATTAGGTGTAGAGCATCCCTACAGCGATAGAAACGCATCCGGGCGTTATAGCGCGGATGACTTCGCGTCTTATAACGGGGAAACCAGTGGCCGCTTCAGCGGGGAAAGTTCTAGGAGGTTTTCAGATTCCACTCCCCCGTTGCCCTCCGCCCCAGGGGCGCGGCTATCCCCCTCGGCGGAGACACGCGCGCTTGTAAATAGACCGCGGGGGAGGAGCATGAAGGAGCGGGATCCCGCGCATGGGGGGACCGCTGCGGAAGCAAGCGCGGAGCTAGGCATGCGCGCGCAATGCGGGGAGTGCGCAGACCTTGGGGAAGGAGCGGTGGAGGGGAGAGCGCCGGGAAGCAGCAGGGGTTACGCGGAACGGCGGGCAAGAGGGGGGCGCGCGCTGCAGAGGGGGCGCAGCGAGGGCGGGCGGATGGGGGAACACTTTCACGTGAGGGAGGGCGCGGGCATGGGGGAAGGCAGTAGGGAGGGCGCGGGCATGTGGGCCGAGGGGGAAGCGGAAAGGGAGGCGGCGGATAGGGAGGCGGCGGAAAGGGAAGCGGCGGATAGGGAAGCGGTTGAGAGGGAGGTGGCGGAGAGGGAAGCGGCGGAGAGGGAGGGGGCGGGGAGGGAGTGGGCGGAGAGGGAGCGGAGCGGGTGGCAGCAGGAGCGGCGGCGGCGGCGGTCCGCCCGCCGCATGCCCTCGTGGGACTGCGAGCGCCTCCCCGGAGTAGCCTTCCCCCGCCCCCCCCCGTCCTTCGAATCCTCCCCCATCTCCATCAACTCCCGCACCCCCCACTCCCGCACCCCCTCCCTCACTCCCTCCCACTCCTCTTCCGTCTCCCCGTCCCGGTTCCCGTCCTCCTTCTCCCCCTCGTTCGGGCCCTCTCGCACGTCCTCTCGCACACGGTCGCACAGCAGCAGCAATGCGACTGACCAGTCGTTAGGGCAGTCGCCGCTGTGGACGCCCAGGCGAGTGGTGGAAGAGGCGAGTCGCCTGCTGGGGGGGCACCGGGGGGAGGGGTTCGGGCTGGGCGCAGGCATGGGGTCGGGTATGGGGATGGGCATGGGGTCGGGTATGGGGATGGGCATGGGGTCGGGTATGGGGATGGGCATGGGCGCGGGGACGGGAATGGGGTATCACGGGAAGCAGCAGCACGGGCAGTTTCAGAAGCAGCAGCCGCAGCAGCTGCAGCGGCGGCGGCACCAGAAGCACCAGTCCGAGTCGTGTATAGACCTCCAGATAGGCCCAGGGGGGACCTATTCTGATCTTTCTCCCAATAGAGATGCTAGAGGGTACAGTCCGGGGGTCCCGTACGCGCGGGACAGGATGTGGTATGGCGAGGAGCGTAATATGGGGTACAGCCCGCCTGGAAGGGCCTTGAGCCCACCAGCAGCAGCTCAACAATTCCAGCAGAAGCAGCCGTTTGAGGGGAGGTCGCGGGTTCAATCCCCGGTGCCGTCATTCCCAAGCCGAGTCAGTGAGGGGGATGAGGACAAGAGCAGCAGCAGCGGCAAAACTCGTGCCAGTGCTCCTCGCACTGGCGTCGCTAGTGCCTCTTCTCCTCATGCCTCTGCCTCTGGAAACAGCACCCGCATTGCTGCTGCCGCTGTTGCTGCTGCTGCTGAAGCGCTTTCTGCACAGCCTACAAGCCCAACCACCAACCCCACAACCCCTACAATCCACTGCCCAAGTCCCACTAGCCCAACCAGCCAATGCGCTAGCCCCACCCCTGCTAGCCCCACAAGCCCCAACCCCACCAGTCCCACGAGTCCCACTGTGACGCGCTCTCTCCCCACGCGCAGCTCTGCCAGCTCTACAGACGCGGAGGCTGTGCTGTGCCGCGCCCTTGCCTCCATCCCCTCCCCCCCGGACAGCCCCTCCGCGCTCACCCTCATTCCGCCTCTCACTGCCTCCTCCTATAAACCTAACAAGGCAGCAGCAGCTGCTGCTGCTGCTCCTTCCGCTGATATTGCTCCCGCTCCAGTCCAGCCGCTGGGTCCCTCTGCCTCTGCCCCATCCCTTGCATTCAGAAACCCCCTGGCGGCGCTGCCCCCGCTGCCCTTCCCCTTCCGCCCATCCCCGCGCGCCCCTGCGCCCAGCTCCGCGCCCGCCTTTGCCACCGCCGCTGCTCTCATAGCTGTTGCCACTGGCATGCCGGATGGTGGCCGTATGGGCACGCCAGAGAGCCGTATGGGTATGTCAGAGGGCCGTATGGGTATGTCAGAAGGGCGGGTGGGCATCCCAGAAGCGACGTCAGTGGAGACTATCAGCAGCACTCTCAGCTCTGATACCGCTGCTGCCATTCCCCGCATGCAGCACGTGGCCGCTCTGCACCGCATTCAACACCAGCAACAGCAGCAGCAGCAGCAGCATGTGGGGAATCAGGGCAGGCAGAAGCCAGCAGCAGAGTCTTCCCTCAGTGCTGCCAGTGCCTCTGCCGGGGATACCTATGGCGCTGGTGCTGGCGCTGGTGCTGGTGCGGGCAGCAGCGGCGCCAACGCCTCTGTCTCCAGCTATGGCCGCAGCAGCAGCAGCAGCAGTAGCGGCACCCGCCCCACGTCGCCCCTCCGGTTTGGCGGGAGGCTGGCTGCGAAGCTGGCGGGTTCCTTCTCCTCCCTGGTTCCTAAATCTCCCAAGTCTCCCAAGTCGCCCAAGTCCTCCAGGTCTCCCAAATCTCCCAATTTGCGGAGTCCCCGGAAGTTTGGAAGGAGATTCGGTGCAGTGACAGGAACTGAGGGGGCAGGCGGATCTGCAACAGCAGCAGCAGGAGGAGCAGCAGCAGCAGGGCAAGGAAGAGGGTCGTCCTTGGTGGCAGCAGTGGCGCTAGGGGGTCACAAGAGCACCCCATCCTTGACCCTATCCACAGACGAAGGTCCCACTGCTGGCTCTGGGAATTTCAGCAGCGAGGGGACTATGAGCTGGGGCTCCCTCCTCTCATCCTCCTCCCTCATTGGCCGCTCCTTCTCCCTGCTCTCCCCGAGAAAAGGCCCCAAAATGCGCCGGGGAACCTGCCTTGTACCCTCGACGTCGACACGGGAAGATGGGCAGGTGGAGGCGGCGGTTACTGGGGATAGTGACTTGAGTGGGATGTTGGGGGATAGTGAAGTGAGTGGGGTGTGTGGTGGGGATAGTGAGGTGAGCGGGGTGTGTGGTGGGGGGATGTCGCTAGAAGCCAGTTTGAGCCATGCAGGGCTGGATGTGCTGTTGGGTGTGAGGGATGCTGCTGAGGCAGCAGCAGGTGCAGCGGCAGGAGCAGGAAGAGCAGAAGCAGGCGTTGCAGAAGGGGCAGGAGTGGGAGTAGGGATGGGTGCAGCAGGCGAGGCAGGTGGTGCTGTAAAGGGGTGTTTGAATGACGGGGCTGAGGATGTGTTAATGGGCCACGTGCGTACCAGGCTGCAGGCAGTGCAAGCAGGGCAAGCAGGAAAGGCAGGGCAAGCAGGAAAGGAAGGGCAAGCAGGAAAGGCAGGGCAAGCAGGAAAGGCAGGGCAAGCAGGAGAGGCAGGAAAGGCAGAGCAAGCAGGGCAGGGGGCACAAGCTGGGATGGCAGTACAGGCAGTGCAGGCGTGTAGGAGTGGGGAGGAGGCGAGCAACGAGGAAGAGAGTGGGAGGAAGTGGGCCCAGCAAGGCACTGCCGATCGCAGGCTAGCGCTGCAGGGACAGGGGAAGAGTGGCGCAGGTGGGGCAGGTGGGGCAGTTGGGGGAGGCGCAACAGGTGTGGCGGGCTGGGCAGGTATATCTGGTGGAGGTTTGACCCAGGCAGGTGCAAGCTGGACACAGCCCAATCCAGACAGAAAGCTCTCTAGCTCCCTCCACAGCCCCACACACTCTCCTACCGGTAATCCCAGAGGTGGTAACCGCGCTGCAGCAATGAATCGTAACAGTTCGAGCAAGTCACTGAAAGAGGAGGGTGTGTATCAGCGGGTGCTGGTTGGGCTGGAGATCCCAGAAGGGGACGAGGAGAGGGGAGGTGAGGGGGTGCCGGAGAGACCAGTGCTGGGTGTGGGGGGAATGCATGGGAGGGTATCTGTGGTTGGTGGTAGCGGTCAGCAAGGGGAAGCATGTGGGAATGCATATGGTGGTGGTGATGGTGATGGTGATGAGAATGGGAATGGTGATGGAGGGGGGTATGTAGAGCAGGAAAGTGATGGGGATTCAGCATCGTCGTCGTCATTCAGTCCGACAGTCCCTGCTACACTGACGTCGCCTATAGGGAGTTTGTTTCAAAGCAGGAGGAAGCATGAGCGCTTACCGAGGCGGTTACAGAGGAGGAAAACTGGCACCCCACGCTAGTGGCTGTTGACGAAAATCAAGTGTGGGTTATATGGGTTCGGTAGGTTGCGTTCATTGTTTTGGTTTCATTATTTATTCGTTCATTTTTGTGCAAACGCATGTGAAAGGGTGCATTGAACTCTATGTAAGCATGTATACTTATGTTTTTTCGTTATCAAGCTAACAATGGGTAAGTGGTGCAGACGTGCTAGTGAAGTTAAACCCCAGCAACAATAGCTGCTGGTAACAAAAAGTACTCCCCATGTAAGGAATTTTGTCTAATTCCATACTGAGGCACCTTGTGCGCATACAACTCCAACTTTCGGAGTTCCAGGCTCGGTCCGACGACCTCGCCCTCCGAACATCTCTTGCGTCGCCTTCGGGTTTTCCAACCCCAAGCCTGCATCCGACCATGCGCGGTCCCGTGGCCTTGCCCTAGCTAGCCCTCGCTATATCAATGCTAGGTCTCATCATTTCGTCAATAATTGTAACCACTTCCGCAATATTGCATTCTGCGCACACTCTTCTTTGACAAATCATATCACTAGGTATCAGAGCTACTTTCCTAGGTTACCCTTGCATTTCCGAGGTAGTTTAGTGAGGGGGTGCGATAGACTTGGTGGGCTGTGAAGCGGGGTACTTTAGATACGATTATCTCGTTCTAACTACGTTAGCGTTCGCGCCTTCATCAAAGTCATAAAGATCGTTGTTAACCGCCTGCTCGTTAGGCGAAGCCTGAGAAATATGGACCAGGCCATGTTTACCGAGTGCATGCAACAGTACCGGACGATGCAGACCACAGTGCACACCATGTTAGCGGAGGTCGAACGCGTGAGGGTGGAAAACGCCGAACTACGCCAGGCGCGAGGTGAAGCGCGCAAGGAGTCACCCGTGATGGATGAAGCAAGTAGCAGCTCCACGCCGAACGAGGCCGTCTTCAGTGAGCTGGAGGGCTCCATGGATGCTGAAGTTGAATGGCGTGCACGGCAGCAACACGCGCAAGCAACGTCGGAGCAACAACAACAGTCGCAAGCAGCGACGAGGCAGCAGCAGTCGCAGGCAACGCCAAGACAGGCACAAGCGACAACGCCGGCGATGGCTTCGACTGCACCAACAGTGCATGTGGTAGCAACAATTTCTACAACTGTTAAAATTAAACCAACAAATCCGCCCCTATTCAACCAGAGCAACAATGGATGGTTGTTCGGAGTGGAAGTTTTCTTTAACGCTGCGCAAATTGCTGATGCTGCCACCCGCATTTATTTTGCGGTATCACTGTTATGGGGATCTACATTGGAGTGGTGGCGATGAACGCTGCAGTCGAAGGGGACTCCGGTAGGGATATCACGCGTGAACGACGAGACCTCAACACATGTCAGGCGATAGGTAGCATCAATTTCCGGAGTGGCCACGATACGCACATGGGAGGAGTGGGGCGCCGCCATGCGAATCAAATTCGAGCATGTATCTGCCTCGGATTCTGCTCGCATGAAGCTGCGCGTCTCGAAGCAGTTGACATTGGTCCAAGACTACACAACGACATTCTGAGCCTTGGCCGACAAAGTGGACGATATGGGCAATGCGGAGCGGCTCGATAAATACGTCGCAGACCTCAAGTACGAGATACAGTTCGAGGTGCAACGTATGAGGCCACGCGACTTCAACGATGCCGGCCAGGTGGCTGGATCAATGGATGCGCCGATGCAGTGGGCGAGAATGAGTTTCCAGGTGTGAGAGTACGACGGCTTATGCTGGCTTTGCTAGCTTGCCTAGACTTTCTTATGCTATTACAAGCTTGGATTTTATTTATCATGCATAGATATGCTTGATTTCCTATGTTAGGTGCGTTCCTAAATGTTATTTTAGTTATAGCATCGAACCAGGTTACGTGTACCGAACTCAAGCCTTTTCGGTTCCCACCGAATTGACTTTTTCCTAGTTTGGGAAGGTAATGTTCGGGAAGCTTCGCGACCCTCAGAACATTCGCGTAACACCTGGGTTACCTGCCTTGTGTCGAGCCTATGTATAGCCTCGCCTTGTACCCAGGTGAATCATTCAATAGAATCATCTTTCCTGAACCAGATCCTCACACTTGGTTATCAGAGCAGGTTTACACGCGAGGGCGACGACGAAAGCGCCGATACGGGTATGTAAAACCAGTTCAGCGCAATTTTTCAAGTCCCCCTCAATTCGGTTTTCGAACACCCTATCAGAATGTATTTGCTGTCTAGCCTGTACTGGGGTACTCTAGTGAGTACAGCTCTATTAGGGTTTGCTATATGTACTCAACTGCCTGCTAGTGAAAACCCCTCTTCTTCCATTTCTTTTTCGTGTACCCTAAACCCTGGTTATGGCTACTAAGTTCTAGCTAGGTTTTTGACATGCTATCAGAGCGAGTACGCTCTTGGCCTGTGGCCTGTGGGCCCACCTGCTTCCGCTGCTGTCCTGTTTGTCGCGCGCCCCGTGGCGTGCGACGTTTTTTCTTCCCGCCATGCACTCGGGGCGCATGGCGGTTTTCTGCCCGCCGCGTGCTCGGGGCGCGCGGCGGTTTTCTGCCCGCCGTGCGCCCCGAGAGCGCGCGGTGGTTTCGTACTCCGTCCCGCGCGTTCCCTGCTGTCGTCCGTCGTGGCGCCCCCGGGGACCTGCGGGCTCCCCCCGTCGTTCATCGCGGCGCCCTCGGGGACCCGCGCGCTCCCCTCCCCCGTCGTCCGTCATGGCGCCCTCGGGGACCCGCGCATCGCCCCCCTCCCATCGCCCGTCGAGGCGCCCCAGGGCCCCGCGCGTCGCCCCCTCTCCCGTCGCCCATCGTGGCGCCTCGGGGGCCTGCGTGTCGCCCCCTACCGTCGCCCGTCGAGGCGCCCCAGGGACCAGCGCGCCGCCCCGCTTCCGCTCACCCGTTGCCCCATCTCCTGCCTGCGTTTCTGCCCTGCGACACCTGCGTTTGGGATGTGGGGGTGGCGGGTATGGGGGTGGCGAGTGTGTGACCGTCCCCTGCTCCTCCTCCTCCTTCGTCTCCCACTGCTGCAGCTGCCGCTGAGGGGGCTGGGTGTGTGGGAGCTGAGGGAGTGGTGCTAGGGGGGTGACATGGGAGTGGAGCTAGGGGTGCAGCAAGGGGTGTGTGAAGGGGGGGTGGGACAGTCGGGGGAGTATAGCTCCATGTATTCTATAGGGTACTCTATAGTGAGTATAGCTCCATGTATTCTATGTGAAGGGAGGTTGAGCGGAGGTAGTCGTCATGTCGCCAGCAGCGCCAGTAGTCCGGAGGCTACAATCTCCGGTAGTCCCCAGTCGCCCGTGGGTCAGTTGCTCCAGCCGCTCGGTGTAGCCGCGGAGCCAGTTACTCCTGCAGTCCAGGCCATTGCTTCGGTAGCCACTGAGCCAACCGCTCATGTGTGTCTGCAGCTTCCACCGTCGCGTCCCACCTCATCTCCTCTCACAGTCCCTCCTCCTCACTTGCCCTTTGTAAATGCCTCTAGTTGTGCTTGTACTTGTGAACCTGCTTTGTGACTGCTTGCTCTGCTGATTATACCCCACTTTGACTATGGGGTTGTGTTAGAATGTATTTGCTGTCTAGCCTGCAGTAGGGTACTCTATAATGAGTATAGCCCAGTTAGGGTTTGCTATATGTACTCAACTGCCTGTTAGTGAAAACCCCTCTTCTTCCATTTCTCTTTCGTGTACCATAAACCCTAGCTATGGCTACTAAGTTCTAGCTAGGTTTTTGACACACCCCTCTTATTTACTGGTGAAAAGGTTGGAGTTTCGACCATTCGATCGAGTTGTCAGATTATTATAGCTGATGCATGTTTGTAGGCTATAGTGGGGTAGCACATATGGGGTACAGCTTTCTAGGGTTGTATTTGTACCCAACACTGGCTTAGTCATTCTCATTCCTGGTCATTTATTTCCACATGGTATAGAGCGAGTTCCCTGTGGGAACGTTGCCTAGGGCCCACCGAAGCGCGCCCCGAGGCGCGCACCTTTTTTTTAGCGACCCCTCGAGTCGCCCTTTCCCTCGTGGCCCCGCCGTCCCTCAGACGCGGCCCCGCCACCCCTTCTGATCGCGGCCCCGCCACCCGATCGCGGCCCCGCCGCCACGTCGCGGCCCCGCCACCCTATCGCGGCCCCGCCGCCAGCTACGAAGCGGCCCCGCCACCTGCTCGACGCGGCCCTGCCGCCTGCTCTGACGCGGCCCTGCCGCCTACTCTAACGCGGCCCCGCCGCCCGCTACGACGCGGCCCAGCCGCCTGCTCTGACGCGGCCCCGCCGCCACCTCTTACGCGGCCCCGCCGCCACCTCTGACGCGGCCCCGCTGCCTGATCTAACGCGGCCCCGCCGCCACCTCTGACGCGGCCCCGCCGCCTGATCTGACGCGGCCCCGCCGCCACCTCTGACGCGGCCCCCCCGCCTGCTCTGACGCGGCCCCGCCGCCCGCTACGACGCGGCCCACCCGCCGACTACGACGCGGCCCCGCCGCCCGCTACGCCGCCGGCCCCGCCGCCTGCTCAGCCACGGCTCCGCCGCCCTCTCTGCCGACCCCGCCGCTCCACCAGCCGCGGCCCCGCCGTCCCCGCCGCTGCACCTGCCGGCCCTGCTACTTCGGCCCCGCCGCCCCTGGTCTCGCGGCCCCGCCACCCTACCTGCAGCAGCCGAGCCGCCCCCCCTGCAGCAGCCCAGCCGCCCGGGAGCCGAGCCGCCTTACACCAGAGCCGCCCTGCCGCCGAGCCGCCCGGGAGCCGAGCCGCCCAGCAGCCGAGTCGCTGAGTCGCCGAGCCGCCCTTCTGCAGAGTTGCCCGGCCTGCCCTGCCTGGTGAGCACAATCCCACTGTCACTGCGTGCTCTTCCCCTACTGCTTGCACTGCTTCGCTGTCGTCGTCATGGCTACCCCTAGTGTCCTAGCTTTTGACGCTGAGGGTCGCGCCATTGACTTTGAGGTCTGGGTAGACGACCTGCAGTTGTTTTTACAGTGCGATAGGGCAAATGGCCTCTCTCTCTTTGACCTTACCTCTGGCGCCTCTCCT